TTCAGGGCAACTCCGGCGGCGAGCTGGCAGCTGACAGGTTTTCTCCAATATCGGCCACATCATCGAGGCGTCGAGGATTGAGGATCTACATCTCCACGAACTGACACAAGGACGTGGAACGCCTCGCCTCCAGGTCTACCAGTCTACCACTTCGCGCTTCCTTCCGGACTTTTCGTCTACCTTACGCTCAATAGTGTTTCTGAAGGTAGAACTAGGGAAAGAAAAGAAGAGACAAATGTCACATCCAAAAATTGCACCATTCAACAGATATTTACATGCTAACCAATGGGCCAACTGATGATTGATGCATCCAGACTGATGTGACTTTTGTATCTTCTTTCCTTTCCCCAGTTCTAGATCCTCAGATGGACCGCGTTTAAAGGCCTCGATACACGATCAAATTCCCGAACCAATTGCCATCAAAAGGTCGGGAGTCATCAGTCTTAAAATCTTTACTTCGGTTAGTTACTACAAAATGTATAAAATGAAAACTTGACAGAAAAGTTTCGTGCGGCAGGAAATGATGAATGGTGGCACTCCATTTCGTCAAATTTTGATCAAAGAGGAGTGGTCAAGTCATCAACAGGTCTACTTTGAACAGAATTGGTTCGGAATTTGATCGTGTATCGAACCTTAACAGAAAGGAGCCATCATGCTATCAGCTACTGCTAAATTAAATTTAATTTTTTGCAAGAGAACGTTTGTGTGGATTTCTTTGAAAATTTTAAGGAATTTGCTTTGTATTAAGCAGAAAATTCGCTGCAATTTGCACAAAAATCCGCACGACCGTCTTCGTGTAAAAAGTTAAATTTCCCGGTTAAAATTGACAATAGCTGATGTAGCCTGGTTCCTTTCTGTTCAATGCCGTCCACATTCGGTGCGATAATGCATTCTGAGTATGCTCGATACATCAATACGTCGCCCTCTAGACACACTGAAAAAAAAAACAAAAAAAAAAAAAAAAAAAAAAACATTGGATCTAGAGTCCAGACTCTTGAAAACATTGACAAGAAAAAATACTCTTGATTCAATCAGATTTTGGCTTAAATCAAAAGGAAATCCTCTCAAATTAAGAGGCTTGGTTCTTGATTTAAGCAAAAATCCGATTGAATCAAGAGTATTTTTTCTTGTCGATGTTCTCAAGAGTCTGGACTCTAGATCCAATGTGTTTTTTTTCCAGTGCATAAGAGCGCAACTACACTCTCCAGGGATCCCTGTCGACCACGCAACTGAGGGCTCCCCCGGGCTCATGCTCATCTAAAAGTTAGTTACGACCTTTTGCCAGCCAAGCGACGGATTTCTGCAGTCGAAGATGCGTAGATCAGATTGCGTCAGTTTAAGTTCGCTCGTGTTCAAGGTAGATTTACACAGGTATGGACAGAACTAAACAACTGGCCTCTGATTGGCTCTCCAGCGGCCCCTTAACGTCAGCCATTTTGGATGTTTTGATTATTTTGATTTATTATGTTCGGTTTATCGTTTGTCAAAATTTTGTGGGATTTTTTGCACAATTTTGGTTATGCGATATTAATTTTAGTGTTTAAACGCACAAACGTTTGAATGTTAATTTGATTGTAATTTAATTAAAAAACGGGCCCCTTAACTACGTCACGAGGTCATGTGACACGTACTGAGGCTCATGGGAAATTTTCAACTTTTCCATACCTGTGTAAATCTACCTTGGCTCGTGTTTGATCTTTTCGTCGGATAACTAAACCAGAATTTTCATCGAAATTATCTGTGAATTAGTTCCACCCATCCTAAAAGAATCACAAAAAATTGCGAGGAAACATTTTGATTGGGTTTCGTTGAAGAAAATAAAATATAATTTGAGATTTTTGATAGAGGATAGATAGGATTTTGATTTCGCGGATAGGAAAAGAAAGCCTTTTTCGAATTATAAGCGCATAACTCTGACGGTTATAGGTCCTTTTTCTGTCGAAAAAAGTAAGTATAGGTGTCAACACCATATCTGTGTCTCACAAAAATTTAGATAATAGTATACCTTCATTTTTCTTATTCTGTTCTTTCTGTTCCAGTTCCTGGAGAATTCCCAGGTAACATTTTTCTGGGATGGTCCGCTGCAAAAATATGACTTGATTTGGGGGGAAAGAGCAATGCATGGATTATGGATTACACGTTAAGGTGATTCGATGGACGCCATATTTTGTGTCAGAACGGCATGCGATATATCGCATCAATTGGTTCCATTTTTTCAGCTACTCGTCATTTTTCTCCAATTTTGAGATCGCAATTCTGTTATCAGGAGACTGAAGCACTCACTTACCAATTTTAACAAAGAAATTCAACGTGATAAAAGCGTGGTTTTTTCAGAGAGAAAACATCGCATTCGATACTGATATCGAAACTGCACTCGAATGCGATATTTTCTCTCTGAAAAAACCACGCCTTTATTACGTTGAATTTCTTTGTTAAAATTGGTAAGTGAGTGCTTTAGACTCCTGACAACAAAATTGCGATCTCAAAATAGGAGAAAAATGACGAGTAGCTGAAAATATGGAACCAATTGATGCGATATATCGCATGCCGTTCTGACACAAAATATGGCGTCCATCGAATCACCTTAACCGGAGTTCATTACCACTTCCTTAGCGCGCCATATCCGGGGTTTTCGCCGCTTTGTCAGCGAAAAATAGTCATCGCTCGTGACATGGTCTGTTTTTGAAGTGTAAACAATTTCAGCTCATGAGTACTCCTCGTACCTTACAGCCGGTTTGTTTGCGAATAATTCTCCAAATTTTTTTTCTGTAGCCTGTTCCAGATTAAGTTTACCCTACCATCCACTTGGCAACAATATTTATGGTATCTCAGCATGCAGACGAAACACTTACGTAAATTTTTGGGTCTNGGGGGGGGGGGGGGGGGGGGGGGAGAGGATCAATTTAGGTTAAGTAATCATTTAATATTGTCAAATTGGTAATGGAAAATGAGTACTGCTGCTTCCAGCATGAATCTAGGTATTATTTGAATGGTTTTTTTTCCTTCGTCTATTTACAAACGAAAGTTGTAAACAAACATAATTCACTTCAGCACCTACAAATATTTCCAAAAAAGAGAACTCGGCTACTACCTAACGCAATTAGAGAATGGAAAAGAAGAAAAAAATCATTCAAACTGTTACTAAGTACTAATTTAACATCCCCATCAGGTTTTTTTAAAAGCAAAGGTTAGTGACCAGGAAAATTTCAGGATATTTCTTCAGAGAGAACAAATCAGAAGCTTTGGTCAAATTTTAACTGAAGGAAAACAGAGAGGAAACTTGCTGGTATTCTCAAATAAAAAATGGAGTCCGTGTCTTATCCAACTACAAATGATTGAGGATGATACAAGGAGCAGACTAAGTAATTTGATCAGGTCACAGGGGAAATAAGTAACTGTTATAGGTGAGACCGCGTGCAAAGATAAGATAATTTAGGTGGGTGAGCAAATTAGAAGAAATTAGTACCTTGTTTGATTTTAAAATGAAATCTGATCAGAATGATGCTAATTTGACCAATTAAGCATACATATCCAAGCAGATAGACTCAAAGGTCAGCTTAATGACAATGATAATACAGATAAGTAATACGGCTTGCAAACATCAGATTGGGAGAAAAAAATACCCAGAAGAAAAGAAGGGAAATTGATAAAGAGCGTATGCTTAGTTGGAGTTTAACCAAAATCAGCCCAACTACATTTTTCATTGCCTAACATCCTCTCTTGGTTTGTTTTTTCACTTAGGTAAACCACGTGAGACACTTAAAGCCTCGAAACTTGCGGAAAAAATTTCCTCTAAATTGTGAATAATACTTACTCAAAAGTTAAGTAAATGGAAAGATTCGCTTAATTTTCTTGTAAAAAATGAAACATGAAAGGAAATTAGGCAAAAAGTAAAGTTGTTTGGCTACCTTTGGTAAAATCTGTCCAAACAATTTGAACTTGAAAAGTGGGACTTCTTGATTTCCTGCGTTTCTTAAATGCAGTTAAAACTGCCTTGCCCTTCTCATACTGTAAACATTAGGTATGTGACTAAAACTTCATTCTTACTGCAGTGATGATCATAAATCTTTTAAATGTTTGTAATTGACGTTCACTTAGGCTACTCAGAGTTTTATCTTCGTCATTTCCATTAATGGTGAAATATAATTGAGACTTTGATCTTCTTAGTGATGATTTCACTTACTTTTTCTTCAGGTTCCTTCCAATATTTACAAACATTGATAATGATACTTCCTGCTCAATTTGAATATTCACTTACACCAGATAAAAGAAGGTGAAATAAACGTTATACTGAGAAAGCAGTCTGAGAATAAAATTCACAATAGAAAGAGATGAGACAGAACCCCACTCCATTTGAATAGTCGTTGATGAGGAAAACTTGGGAAGTTTTGGGAAATTTTTAAGGCTTGATGCCCCTGATTCTGTCTCCTGATATTTCAGAGGATTAAAATTGACAACCAAACTAGAAACTTGATGTGGATTGAATAAATGTGGTCCTCCGTCGAGAGCACGCTGAAAGCAGTTCAAAAAACACCCCTCCACACCGTAACTCATCATCCGCATTTGTAAACAAAAAGATGCTTCCAGTAGAGGGGAAGTCTCTCTTGACTAATTTTTTCAGCACAGAATTAATTTATATTTTAATATTGCATGAGAGGAGACTACGTATGAATCGAGCATCAACAACAAATCAACATTAAGGAAAGAATGATGATAAGGAGAGATGGCAAAATCAACTGCGGAATATCTTGGCAGATTATGGTAAGCAACCAAAAATTCAAAAGCCGAAGAGCGTGGATTCGAAGGATGAAATTCGAAATCAAAAATGCTTGGTGGCTTGGAGCACTTGGAGGCCTGTTTTGATTGATGGCAGTGGAAAATGGGGAGGAAACAGAACAAGTTACTGGTCGTCCATTCTCACATCACAGGCAAAATTAAGTTATATAAAGATGAAGTTTCGGGTTTAAATCGGTTAGGCGATCGGGAAACTGTTAACGTACCTTTTTTTGCTGTTTTTCCCAAGCCGGATCGAGTAATCCTTCCCTCTCCCATTCTTCCTCGGGTTCCATGTAGCCATCCCCGTACACATCAACATTGTTGGAAAGATGATTGGAGTTACTAATCATCTTGCTACAAGCAAACCGCACTTACAAAAGGGATACTGGGGTAGGTCGCCGCACCTACCAAAACGAACCCTTATAGGGTTTTAAATAAATTAAAAACACGCCACCGAAACACTCCGTTGTTGGGTCGACTGACTGCAAACTGGCTTCACTCGATTAAAAACACCAATGGACCAACATTGTTTTCCTACTAATTCCGCTTTAGCTGTTCCGCCTCACTCTACGAGTTTCCTCCGCTCGGACAATGGACCGGAACGCGACTGCCGCAAGAAGGCGCTCGCACTCGCGGAGTCGCGGCGCCCCCCCCCCCCNCTTTCTACTTAGATATTTACTGCTATCTACCGCGGGATTGCAAATATTACTGTTTTCCTTCGAAAATTTTAAAAAAAATCGAATTGAGGTAAATTTTTCACTTGACTGATGCCGTACACTGCATTCGTAAAAATTTCGAATTTATTAATTTGATTTACTTACTTTACTTGGGTACCATTTCGTTTCCCAACGACAGAAAGAAAATTGAGAAAATTTGGAAAAATTATAAGATGTAATAAGTGCCTAGCTAAATGCTTCAATCTCAAAACTTCAAAAAAAACTGCAATTTAAACCACGAAAGATTTGAAGGCCTGTGATGAGAGAAAATTACAAAAACTCACTAGCAAAAAATTGTCACTTTTTTTTGTCGTTTTCTTTTCACCAAAAAATCTTGAGTACTATTGAAGTCACGATAAGTGAACATACTAAAACTCTCACGCTAGAGTCCCTGAGAAATTTCAGCTAATGATGCATTTAAATTTTATGTTTTTAATTAAATTATGATAAAGTTTTTCGTAGGGCAGAAGAAATTGAAACTTTTCTTCATTCCTCATTGAAAATACTTGAGTGCAGTTTTAGGGTCAAAATAAGTAGGTATTTCTTTAAGTTTCTAAAAGTTCCTAATGAAAAATAATTGTTTTACAAGAAGTAGGTACAATCCCAATGGATCCACAGAAACCAGGTTATTTTGTTCATATTTCTCTACAGATATAGATGTCATAAATCTAAGATGGTCGATCTTCACAAGGAAATATGAAGTATTATTATATCTTTGCATTATTATAGCACTTAGGCAAGTGCATAATATGGGTTATATCAGAACTTTTCATGTGAAGCAGAGTCACTTCTGCTCGATGGCATCTAACTATGCCTCAAACTTTATGACTATTAAACTTGTCCAGATAACTTCAATTGATTTCATAGCCTGGTGATGATCTGAACTCAGAACATGACCTAAATAAATTAGGCACTTTCATTGGGTTGAAAATAAAACCTCGTAGATGAAGTGGTATTCATTTGATTTTTATTGGTCACTGGAGCAACTGGGATTCAATGAAAAGAATCATATCACTTCAATTAAAAAACAGTGCAGTGTTTACATTTGCACTAACCAGTTGTGATGTAGAAAGGGACAAACAAACAAACGTTTTCTTGAACATAAAAGTTTTGCTGGAGTGTTTTTCAATTGTTACAGACAAAAAAAAAGCTGACATTTATTGACTGTAAACTGATTCTCTTTGATTACTACGTACAGCAAAACTAGGGTAACTTTGTTGAAAGTGGGTGCTTGTTTGTCAACCGTTATGAAAAAGTAACATGTATCAGAAGGAATCACAGCTTACAGGCACACTTGTGAGAGCACCAAGTTATGTACATAAAGTGTTAGATAAGTCGTTTCTGAAAAAAGCAAAAAAGTTTGTTCTGTCGTGATGGGCAAAATTCAAGTGAGGCGAATAAAGTGCAGCACTTGATTTTGGTTTAAAAATTCCTACTGTTTTCTAATACTTCTGACCAATGCCAGCATTTCTGACTTCATTTAAATGCTTCGGATTGGGTAATTTTCTTCAGTATGTCAAAAGCTGATTCCAGAGGAGAGGGAGGGTGCTTTCTTTTCTTCACTCTGACATGCGAAAATCCATGGTAGTAAAAATATTAAAGACATAGAAAAACTGAAAATCATTAGGAAATGAGGAAGAGTTAATTTTATTTACGAGGTTAAAATAAAACCACATACAATACACTAACTGCATGTAGGTACCTGATGACATGAGTGGTATCGTTGAAATAAAAATAGTATCAAAAGGACATACAAAAGACAGTTTTCAGAAATTGTACTGTTTCTGACTTTTGATACAACAATTTGCAAGAAAATTCTTCTACTTGATCAATAGTAGGAAAGTATTTAGCATAATTTAAGGTGTTTTGATTAAATCACGCACATTTTCAACAAAATTCCGAGGTCTACCCTTTGAGGGAAAATAAATAAACAGTAGAATTCAAAATGTTCAACACACTGACGGCAAATGCATAAATAAATGATGCTTGACACCATCACCTTTTGAAACAGTTTCATCGGTGTTAAAATTGGATAAGTATTACAAACCTTGTTAAACACTCATCAGAGGTTCGAATTCAGAACGGTGAAATTCTTCATTTAAGTCTTAAAATTCTCAAAATTCTCAAAACCTGCATACCTACATGCTACTTTTTTTTATTGTGAAATTTTTGTCAAGAGGTAGTCGAATCTGGCTATGATAGAACATTTAAGAGATAGAATGGTCTTATTACATATACTTATCATGCTGATTACTATAACATACTCCATACTTTGTTGAAAAATCGTCCTAATAATGATGTAAGGCACAAGTATATTCAAATAAAAGGAGAAAAACTTCACAGGTATGTGTAGAGCAAAAATAAAGAAAAGAAAATAAGGAAAAAACTATCCGAGTAAAATTAAATCTCAACAAACTTCAAAATTCAAATTATAATCAATAGTACTTGTTAGTCATGCTAGTTAAGTTTTCTATGTAGCAAGAAAAAAGATAAAGGAAGAAAATTATGAATAATACAGAGAGGGTTGACTAATTTTCATAGCTCCAGCTAAAAAGTTCAGCTCCAGATTAATATTTAACATTGAGTGTTTCGTGAGTAATTTTAATCATCTAAAAAAATTACGCAAAAATGCTGCTGGGAGTGGTGACATGCAGTTTCTGGCTGAATCAGCTCATTGGATTTATTCAATAGCAAGCGTAGTTAAAGATTGCTTCTTCAGATGGCTTTCACAAATACACTACGACTGCCAGACTAGTGGACAAACTATGACAATGCACTTTTAGGCTATTGTATAAAAAGAATAAGAAATAAAATGCCCTAGTCAAAAAGGTTCATAATGCTACAGTAACACCTTCATGCAGAAATTGCAATCGTCTCATACAATTCATAAATAAATCCTTGTTGCATGATCAAAAACATACAGGCGGTGACTACATTACAACACAAAGAACAACATCTTCATGAGGATGATTCCATTTTGATGTTACGTTTAAAATCTACAAATCAAGACATAATGCGATTAAGTCATCAGAGACTTAGAGTATTTTATCCAAGAGATATCTTAATATTTAACATAAACAGACGTCAAAGTAATTGAAGGGTTTGCCTGTAAAAGAGCTTCTTTAAAAAATACCTGTTTGGAGCAATAGTTATTGATAGCTTTGCACATTTTGGCCTGTAATTTTGCACAGGGGTATCTGATCATCATAAAAACACGATGACGTATTCCCGAAGATGATAATTAATTTTCCAAAAGGACGAATAATGTTACAGTACGCTCTTCTGCTGGAAAACGATTCTATTCAAAAGTCAAAATTTCCTATTTTCTTTACTATTCTAGTGTTTGCATGGGACAAAACGGCAGAATGCAGAATCAGTTGGCTTAGGACTTAAAATTTTGACAGTCGTTACATAGTCTAAAAATACCCCTTCATTGAGGGTTTTATCCTGAGTCTCTGTATTTTCAATGATTCTTCCCACCAATTTCAATTCTCAGTGTTTACCCCATTGTTCTTAGTTTCCCCAGTCCCTAAGAAGCCTGCATGAACTTGGCATGAAAGTAATTAAAAAAAAAGAACCTAAAAATAATCAAGAGAACCATAATTGACACTATGAGGTTGATAAAAAAATGTCCTTCTTTTGATAAACACAAATCTAAAGCAACAAAAGACTACTCTGCACAATATGTTTGATGCTGATTGGTTGAAGGTAAGTAACTGCCAAAATGCTGATAACACTTCTTCATTTTTTTTCACAACATTTAACAGAAATTCATCATCGCAACCTTATTACTATTAAGTCACGATTTTCCGAATGACACTAAAAAATGAGTCTACTTCCTCAACAATCCTGCAACTTCCCTATTGTATGGAATCTTTAGAAGGCAGAAGATGATTCTTTGTCATGAATTTTTCTAGTAATTGGAGAGCCTTGAAATGATTAATGGTAAGTCTATTCAATCTGAGATTAAGAAACGGATCTTACAATCAGGTAGGAAATGAGGTTTACAGATCTGTTATGATGGAAAGCACAAAATAAATGCTCCGCAATTAACTTAGCCTAACCTACTGAAAACATTGGAAGTTCTATTTTGTTGCTTAGAGACACCGTTATTTTTCAATGCTTTTTGAAAGTCACCAAAATGAGCTCTTACAGGCACGCCTTTGTGTGCGATCTTGTCCATGTTTAAAAGTTTTGATCTACCATTGGCTGGCCTACTGTCCGTGCTAATTCTTTCTCTGACAGAAGTGGCAGTATTTAAACTAATCCTGTTCTTGATAGAGCCTGTTGGTTTTGTAGAGATTCTCTCTCTGGAGCCAGGTGATTTTAAACTAATTAATTCCCTTCTAGCAATAGATGGATTAACACTGATTTTTCCTTTGGCAGAAGTTCCCGATTTTAAAGTAATCCTTTCTCTAACAGATGGAGTTGGTTTTGAACTAATTCTTTCCCTAACAGAAGGAGTTTGTTTCAAACTAATCCTTTCTCTAACAGAGGGAGTTTGTTTTAAACTACTCCTTTCTCTGACAGAGGGAGTTGACTTTAAACTGATCCTATCTCTAACGGAGGAAGTCGATTTTAAACTAATCCTATCTCTAACAGAAGGAGTTGTTTTTAAACTAATCCTTTCTCTTGCAGAGATGGCTGGTTTTAAACTAATTCTCTCTCTAGGTGGAAGTGGTGCTCTTACGCTAATTCTATCTCGAACTGTTGACGTTGGTTTGACTCCTACTCTATCTCTGACTGATGAAGCAGAGTCGAAAGTGATTCTTTCTCTGATGGGTTTCACACTTGCACTCTCTCTAGCCAATGGGTTAGGACGAATTCTACTTCTGGCCAGGACTGCAGCAGTGGTTCTAATTTTGGTATCTGGTGCTAAGCTCATAGCGATTCTCTCCTTGGCAGTTAAGGAAGGTTTCCCACCTGTTACTTTGGCTATTCCCCCATGTAAAATTGGTCGATTCAATGAAATTCTGTTTTTGACGGAGGGTTTTTCCATCAATTCGTAATCCATGCTAGGGATGGACACTTTCTTTTCGACAACCTTTGAGAGGTGCATGTTGTTGGACTGCATGTCATTGGTGTAGAAGACATCATCATCATCCAACACAACTTCTTTATTACCAAGCCCATCTGTAGAAGACATGTACGAGGAGTTGACCTGAAAATTGAGAGAATTACTTTTAGATTAAAAAGAACCTCTACAGTTTAAAGCTAAGTTAAGGTAACTAATATTTTTCGGAAAAATCAAGTTTATAGCATTCTGAACATGGATAGTAAGTTCCCAATTTTTTTAAAAAATGTGTGGTGCTTTCATGGTGCAAAACGGTGAATTAAATTGTAAGTAATAAAGTTAACAATTTAGCACTCAAATCTAAAATCAATGAAAATGCAATTAAGTACTATGCATTGACTATGTGCTGCGCATGTCAAGTACTTGAACTATTTAGGATGGATAGCTTTGGACCTCTGACTCCACACTTCAGATGCATAAAATGGACATGGATGAGCAATCTAATCTTGAATTTCATCAAAGAGATTGCTAAGTTGATGTGATAATACCTTGAAGCACACTATACACCGTTCCCATTTTCACCAGTCATTATCTTATCTTATCTAAAAACAATGATACTGCAGGACAAATTTAAATTTCAGCTCTGAAAAAATTTGGTTGGATATGCAATAATCAGTTCAACGAATAGCATATTATCCGGAATAAAAATAACACCAATAACAGGAGCTACCTCCACAGAGGATGTTTTCGTGCCCACAATACCCATAATATGTAGTTGAACTCTGTTTAAAGCCCAAGTTTTGCCTAGCACTTAGTTGAGCATCTAACAGAAATTTTACACTTGATCTCCAAGAGAGCAAAATATAAGATATTTTAAAAAATGGGTACATTACGTAATTTGGGCTCATTCTAAATGACCAGTATCAGGTCCGACAGTAACTCTATTAGGGCTATTCTATCAGTTGTCGGTAAGCTACCGAAACAGTTCCATCGAGAAAAAGTTACGATTCGAGCGTTCTTACCGATAGCGATCTGAGTATTCGGAGATGACAAAAATAAGCTGTTGCCATTCGTACATCTATTTTACGCGCCGCTGCGCCAGGCAATCTGACAAACAGACACACGGGGCAACAATGCATTGAAAGCAAGCTCTCAAAACTCCGATAAGACGGGCTGTTAACAATATCATCACCACTGTCGGTACTGCCACCAGTTTCCGTAAAAGACGATACCGATAGCGTTCCCGCAAGAATTCGTTTGAACTCCCCTAAACTCTATTAAAACTTCACAAAATACAGTGAAATAAAAAAAGGAAAAACTTACAACGGTATAATGCTGATCAAACGGGTTAGCTTGAGATGAAAGAAAAGGAGAAGCAGACGAGGTCATTCCAAGTCTCTCTTTGGGACCTGTTTTAGGTTTCACTGCTGGATTTGCTGGAAAAATTAAAAGATGAGTGAGTTAATAACACATTTAGAGCAGAAGTTCGAGGAGAGTAATACCTATGTTTTGCAATTCTTGGGTTTCTGACGATTTTTTTCATTTGTTTAAAAGCACGATGTTCATTCATTAATTCAGATACACTGGTGAAGTTCCAAAAATTTTACTTTGAATCTGACTTTACAAACAAAATTTGCAGTTTTAAACAAATTGAAAGTCGGCGTAAGACGTGGGTATTGCATGGTCGATTACACTTAGGGGTACTGAGCATGAAAAGAGTACCTCTGCAACAATAGACAGACACCTGAAACTAGACTCCAATGCCCGATAACACATGCTCGGATTTAAGCTCTTGCATTCAATTCCAAATTCGACTAGCCAATTTGGCTCCTAGCTATTTTCACTTGACTGTCAGCACTATTTCAGCATGGAAAAGTTGCCTCAATAAAATGAACAGTGAAGGATGAGGAAAACTATGATGAACATTACCAAGAATTCCTTCAGTGTGAATGATGGGTTTCACCCATGCTACAGGCTCGTGCAAGCTTCTTCCATCTTCCTTCGAGTAGGCTTCCTCAGTTGGGGTGTAAAGGTCATTTTTAATCTCCACTGTCGGTAGCAGTCCATTGTCTACGAATAATAGTTGCAAGTAAATTTATAATACAAAAATTATTTCAGGGCACATATGTATGTCATACCTTAAAACTAAGAGAATTTAATGACTTAAAACTTAAATCTAAACAAAATACAAAAATTATGAAGTGTCCTGAGAAAGATTTGGGGGCGTTCAGTAAACTGAATATTCCTTGGGCAACCAAAATCCATTCCCACCCCCCTGAAGAAGAAAGAAAATGAGCCTGCACTGCCTGCAAAATAAAGAAACAGCAATTGAGTATTCATTCTGCGGCTAAGATATTTCTCCAGATCAACTACTATTGATTTCTGAACTCTGATTACTACATTTTTTTCTGTTTGCTCATCTCAGTGATGAAGTTAAAGTTTTAGATCAATATTTGGTAACATTCGTTAGAGAATTAAAGAAGAGGCATAATTGAAATTTTTAATATTAAAATACCTAGGAAGAGAGAATTTTCAATAAATCTATGAATATTTGTTGAGGCTTTAATAATTTGTACTGCTGCGTTCAACAGTTTTCCTTTCAATTTATTCTGGAATTAATTCTGGACTTTAATACGTTTTCTTTCTCTATTTTCGCTTCAATTATGTAAAGAATGTTTACATGCATAGTTTTAGATCGATTGATCATCCATATTGTATGGGAGCTTCATTGGTTCATTGACAGGTATTTTTTTGTAGAAGTTTGGACTCATGCCTCAAGTTAATCCACAGTTTTTATCCACTTCATGGTTACGATGAAAAACCGAAGTAAGTTTTTTCCCTTCACATTACAATTTGATAATTGACTAGACATTCCAGCATAAATAAACTAATACATAATTGGATGCCTTTATAGGCAAAATTGACGGCAATATTGTACAACAGAGTTGCAAATATGCTAAAATCATCACTTGAATGTAAATCATACACTATTTAGGCAAACACTATAATAAATACATACCATCAAAAGGAAATTTTTTCTCTCCAGCAAGAGAAAAATCAGTATCAGCCACATCTCCTGACACATTAGAGCTTTTGTTATCCAACCGAGCAAACACAGATTTCTGGAAATTTGTGAAGTTAATTACAAAACATGATAAAAATTATATAAAAAATTTAGACCAATGAATAGTGTTTCAGTAAAGTTTTAAAACATCACTTACCTCAACACTTCAGAGAGAGATTGATACTCCATAGATCAATTGATGATTTCTGGATTTTAGAACATTTTTCAAGAATTCACCAGCATCACATGACGCTATAATGCATCACGTATTTGTACACAAAATTTGACCAAGGAACACTTCGAAATAACTCTAAGAGTACAGTCTGGGTGAGTATCGCCAATTGTTCCGCCTTTAGATTTGTAACAGTCTCTCGAAACATACATTTGGAGTTATTTCAAGACATTTCTTAGTCAAATTTTGTGCACTAATATTTGACATATTACAATGTGCTGTGATGCTCAGAGAAACTCCAGAAATCATTAACTGATCGACCGACTGTATGATCGCTCTCCTATGTGTTGAAGAAACACCTTAAGAGCATTAAGGCCCATATTGTTGGAAAAGAAAACATAGTGAGCAATAATCAAAATAAACTCAGATAAAATTCATCATTTGATGGAAAAAAATGATTTGCTTCATAAGGTTAAACCTACCTTCGTTGGTTCGGGAGAAGTAGCACGAGCTCCACTCATTGTGATGGTAAAAGTTGTGCCTGCTTTTGGAAGTATCTCTGGTTCTTTATCTGGTAAAATTGAGACAGTCCTTTTGGTGCCGCTGAAACAAACTAAAAATGAACTGCTTTTAAAAAACTTGTGTATTTGCAAAAAGAAAAAGAAGAGTGAGGAGTATTGTAACATATGGGAGTGAGATCTGGCAACTGAAGAAAAGAACTGAACATTCTGAAAGTTTTTGCAGTTTCGCCTTCCATTTACGGAATCAGTGTTAAAAATCTACCCAGAATTAATATCAGACTTATTGCAAACCTACTTGACATTTATTTTTTGACCAGTGTTATTGTGTTGGATATTGGATCTTAATTGTATGTCTATATTTAACACAACATTATGCCATGGATAATGTAGATATTTTATTATTGGAGTGACTACTTACAAGGTTTTGCTGCCGTAGTTCGTCCTGAAGTACTAGTGTTGCTGCTACTTGGTTCGGGCATGACTTTCCTGAGTTTACTCACACATTCTAGGGAACTGTTTGATGAGGAGCTGCTCGAACTGTCACTTTCTTCAGTTTCCTCTTTCACAATGACACCTTTTTGAACACTTGTTTTAATTTTTCGTTTCAAAATCGTACAGTCTTTGCTTTTTTTCTCCCTTGAGCCTGCTATAAACAAGAAAATACTTTAGATACTATTCATAAGACAGTTCAATTTAGACATTTGATTACTGAACAATGGAATTCCTGAGAAAGCAGCTGCATAGTAATTCCTGGTCCTGAATATCATCAAAGTAAATAATCATATACTCCTTCCACTAACACTACCATTCATATCAAGCTTCCAGTCATTCCTCTAGAGAGCTTTGTGAAACTTCAATTTAACGATCTTTAGATAAAGATAAGAAAAGATAAGAAGAAATTTCATTTTTCGAAGATAAAGCTTTACACAGTAAAAAAAATATAATACAGCTTTTAAAACAGACAGAAACTTGTGTGGAATGTAATGCAATAGTAGTAACAGAGAAAAGTAGTGCAGTATAGTAGATTTTAAACAGTTTGGCAATCACCTGAAAGAAAATAAATAAAAAAAACTATCTCCTTAAAAGTAAGCTCCGTACCAGAATTAATTATAAAATGGACAAAACTCCAAAGAATGATGAATTTAGTGACATTATAGCATCAATGGGTAGAGAAAGTTTATTAACTAGAGAAAGTTAATTAACTATTATACTTAAGTAAGTATTCAGTCTTTCTGTAAAGCTTGAAAGTGTTAAAAAGTCTTATCGGAGTAAAACCCAAACTTTTTTGATTGTTTCAAGTCCATCTAAAAGTACCCAACATACTTAATAAGATCAGGGCCTTGAAATTAATAACCAATTTTTCAACTATTTTCATTATCTTTCAGGAATATTGAGAGCAACCAAATCAGATCAAGCTCCCGAAGTAGCAGAAAATACGCAACATCAAGAAGACCACACAGTTCTTCAGGGTTTAATTTTAATTAATTAAAATCTGACTAAACCTATTTTCAATCGCTTAAAATCTGACTAAGTAAATCTCTTTTCAATCACTTAGGTTGTTCTATGGTGCAGTACAAATAATCAAAAGAAAAAGTCTACAAAAGAAAATGGGCCAAAAACTTGAAATTGGAAGAATTTGGGTTAAAAAAATGGACAATTGCTTTTTCGGAAAATCTTTTCACAATAAAAATGAAATATACAAGAAAAAGGTTAAAGATGACTTACCAGTGTCACTGTCATGAAAATTAGCTGCAGCTGTTGATGCTTTTGAGGATAACTTCATGTTTGGTGGCAGAACAGGACCTGCTTTTCGGGGAGCTTTCTTTTCCTCAGCTGAAAAAAACATTTTAAAAAATAAATTAATAAAGAGTAAAAACCCACTAAGCTTTTGCTTGTGGTGAGTGCATACATTGTATAAAAACATCAAAATTAGAGATGGGTGACTTGCATAAACTCGCTCTGCTGCAAACGTACACCGCCCAGATGATGAGGACTTTCGATCAATATGATTTCTTGACTAAAATAGTAACAATACAGTTGAATTTCATGCTACTTTTTGGCTTCATTTCATCTGGTTGATCATTTCTTCAAAAATCTCTCACACACACAAGCTTCGGCTTAAGGGAGATGATTTACTGTATTGGGAAATTTTAAGTGTACATTTTTCAAATAAATTTTCTCAAAAAGAAAAAAAAATAATACAGATTGTTGTTATAAAGTTACTGGCTACACCTATTTTTAAGTCTGACGCAATGAGCTAGGGTTTAATAAATTGTGACTAAATCTTTTTGATGTGCTTATAAATAAAAATTATATTAAGTACCTACTTATTTTTTTTTTTTTTTATCTCACTATGAACTTTCCAATGCCAGTTCTTGAAGTCTAAGAAAGATGCAAAGCAAAATAGAAAGTACTAAGTTTACTTACTCTGCTTTTTAAGTTCAATGGAGGGTGAATAGAAATAAGGGTCATTTTCTGGAACAGAAACTGTTGAAACCACAGTCTTCTTGGGAGGGTTTTCAGGTTTATCCTTAGATGAAGATTGCAACACTGTATCCCTTGCAGTCTACAACAGACAAAATTGTTCACAGGTTCATGATGAGATTGTTCTTGTGAACACTTTTGAAACTAATTTACATCACTTTTAACAAGTTTGTAACAAAGAACGCTTTTAGTCTAAAATGAACATGAAATAGGTGCATGTTATAGAGGTACCAAGTGCATCCACATATGAACAGGAAAACTTACAGACCACATGGCTCAGTTTGCGACATCATAGACTTCTTGTCATACAATATTTTTTTAAATGGAAAACTATTCAAAGTCAATTCTTGCAAACTTCCATGATTTTCCTTTGCTGTGTGAGGAAAATCTTGTGAAAACTGGAAGAAATGACGTTGATTTGTTTTCCTTCAAAAAAATAAAATAGAAGCAGGAATTTTTAAACACCGCACACAAGCTACGTGGTTTGGGAGTTTCGCTGTCATATGTATGAACTATACCTTTTTTTTATTTTATTTTTTTATTTTTTACCATAGCCTATTGGCTAATCCCACGGTTATCATCCCAGCCCCATGTGACCATCGCCTGAGACCATTAAACTCAGATCACTTGGCCGCGTATCGGACTCTGGACCTCTTGGTCATAGGGCCAGCGCTACAACCATTACACCACAGGAGGCCGACACCTCTGTCAGGAAAATCCATAGTGGACATTGTATTTTAAAAGAACCAAGAAAATGGACTTCTTTTGGCTAGGTTTGGGTCAAATTGATCCTGTGAACATCTGTATATTTTTTGACTAATTATTACCTTTTCATAGACAAATCTTGCATGCTTTAGAATTGAGATAACATCGCCCATTGTCTGAATGCCCATTTCCTTCAACACTTCACGATCCAGATCCAAGAGCATGTCCTGAGAGATTCTATTTTCTGAGAAAATGAGGGCATATGTTGCCGCTGCTGAGGAAGGGATTCCAGCATCGTTGAAGAAATTGATCCACTTTCCTAAAAATACATAGTCAGGCAGAGTATTAGATTAAATATACTTCTCATCAATTGTTATGTTTCTTGGTCGAAGAGTATTTTTCTTATTGAATTGACTTACTGGAGCTTTGGAGGTCATACATCTGAAGTGTATTAATACTATGGTAATGGTGAGAGCGGAAAATTACATATGTAACATTCTGGTACTCACATAGGATAGGCTAGTCAGGTCCTAAAATTAACCAGTTTGCTTTCATGCTTGGCCTCACATGTTAAATACAAATTCTATAATACTCATCAAGAAATTCAAAAAAGCTCCTTTAATTGCAACTAAGGATAGAAGACTAGCTTTGATCTTGCATGAGCTCTTAGTTATACGACGAATCAATCAGGATAGATGACGGATGATCGCATCCGAATCGAATTTAGAGTCTTCACTCTGCCATCCATTCAAACCATATTACACTCGGTTATATATTTACACTAGAAGTTTAGAGAGAAAGAGTTTGAAAAAAGCACTTACGACTCATTTTTCCAAGCCTTGCAGATTTTGAGAATCAGAGAAGCATACAGGAGTTCTAGATACTTGGCGGCTGTTGTTAGCAGCGGAGTCAAACACAACCCTACGAATTAAGATGAAGCATCTGTGAAGGGAACGGACGTAAACCTATTTCCGTACGATAATGCGCCTTGGTTTCTAAGAAAATTCTCTGATCTCTTTCACATCTCTAGAATAGATTAGAACGGTGGATTCAATTGGGAAGGTCTGTAAGTGACCTATCTCTAACCTAAATCTGAGAGGTGCTTGGCAAGAAAAGGGGAAAAAGAACGTTAAGTAAATGTGATCGGAGACATCTCTGAATACACAGGAGTTTAGATGGCTGCACGATGTAAAGAATACATGCCAAAAGTATGAAATTGAACTGAAAAATCACTTAATATCACAAAACTGTAACACACGGTAGAGCTGCAAAATTTTGAAGTTTGAAAACAACACAAGCGATCCGCAAAAAAAAAACAACAAACCACCAGCCAGTCAGAGGGCGCTGCCGTCGCGTCGTAAGAGCGCGGTATTTGAAATTACTCCTAGTGATAATACAACCCCCCCCCCTCCTCTTCGCTCTTTTTTTTATAAATGTATGAACAGAGTTTTTTTAGTTTCTAACTCTTTATTTTCTGTACTAGCTGCTATGACCCTCATAACCAGGGACGGACTGGCCGGGGTGGCGATGGGGCGATCGCCCCACTTTCATCGGCTAAAAGGGGCCCCGGAGGGGCCCCTTTTGGCCTATTTGAAGGGCCGTATTTCGCCGTTTCGAAGAACGCCCGAGGGCTTTTTCGGTTCGTCCTCGAGAAAGGGCCCCGAGAATCCTGAGAGGACAGGACACTTTATTGCCGATTCGGAGAGCGCCCTGAAGGAGCTTTTTTATGCCGTATCTAAGGGCGTTGCATTTTGAGAGCCCTTTTTTCTGATTCGAATAAGTCCAAAGGGGTCCTTTTTTGTCATTTCGGAAGAGCCCTGAAGGACTCATTTATTGCCGATTCGAAGAAGACTCGATGGAGCCTTTTTTTTGCCGCTTCTAAGGACCTTAAAAGAGCCCCTTTATCTGATTCGAAGGAGTCCTTTTTTGCCGTTTCCAAGGGACCATTTATTGCCGATTTGAAGAGGCCTTGATGCGGTTTTATACCGCCTTTAAGGACCTTCAAGGCACCGGGCTCTTTATCGCCAATTCGACAAAAGGGTCCTTTTTGCCGGGGGCCCTTTGGTACTGATTCAGAGAGGCCTCGAGGGCGCATTTCTATGCAATTTTGAACTTTGGAGGCTCCTAGTAGGGAACCTTTCCTACCTTCCTCAAGGGATTTCGTAGGGGCCTTCGGCGATTTTTCCCCCCTTTAGCGAAATCCATAATGGGGGCTGTCCATATAATACGTAACGCAGTTTTTCCGATTTTTTTACCCCCATCCCCCCTCCGTAACGCATCGTAACGCAAGCTCGAACCATCCCCCCCCCTCAAAAAAATAAATAAATACGTAACACAAGCCTCGCCCCTCCCCCCTATTTTGGTCAGTTTTTTAAATTAACAAGGAAAAAAAAGGTCTTACGGCAAAAAAGAGTTACGTAACGTTGGGCTTGACCCCCGTCCTCCCCCCTTAATACGTTACGTATTGTATGGGCAGCCCCAATGACTTTTTTCTAATTCAAAAATTCCCGCGACATAAGACCTCTATTGACACATTTAAGACGCGCGTGCGAGTCGCCAGTTTAAGAAAATATACTAAGTTTTGCATTTCTGGTCTCTTTTTGGATAATGTTTCAAAAATAATATTAAAGAATAGGGTCTAAAATAGCGTAAAATTCATTCTAAAAGGGCCTAATTTTCAAAATTTTCCGGGGGAGGGCCCCCGGACCCCCCTTCTACTGGGGGGCCCCCCAGACCCCCCTAGGGACCCGCCCCATACTTAATTTAGGGCCAGTCCGCCCCTGCTCATAACAGGCGTAAGAGCTGCCTTTCCAGGTAAGAATGATAACCAAATTAACTCACCATTATCTGTTTTCGTTTCCGAGAGTGCAGCTATTTTGCTACGTAACTGTTTTTGCCTAGCGACTCTCAAAGTGAAGGGCAAATAAGTTTTCCGTCAGTCATAACTCATCGCACACATCGAGCTTTCGATTGCATGCGACCACGAACATTTACTTCACTTCATTCGAGTGCTCAAAAACGTATGAGCTATTTTGCTTGCTTTGTGTGTGCACAAGTTTTCGCTGGATTATTTAGCATTTTTTATTGTGTAGCTGAGAGGAACATTTCAACGAAGAAAAATCAGGAACTCGTGCCGCGTTTCCATTATTTTCAGAGCCTCATCAATTAGTTATAATAGTCCTAATTTTTATAATGGGTTATAAAAATTAGGAAAGTATTCAAGACCGAGTACCGAGATACATACGCGCTCATGTATTTTAAAATCAGTCTATTTGTATGACAATTTAACGCATTTCGGTCAAAAGTCGAACCAAGGATATTCAAAGTTGAGAATATTTTTTCACCTAAGGTGTGTAGAAAACTTATCATTTGAACGCGTTGGTATGATATGAGTGCGAGATTAATCTGGGAGGATTTGAATTTAATCGAGATGAATCGATCGAGATACGGAACTGATCGAAGTGATTCAATTGACACCGATTTGATTGACAAATCTCGATCGATTCACGAGTTTTTCGATCGATTCATGGAGCTATCGATCGATGCACAGGTTTGATCGATCGATTCATGAATTAGTCGATCGGTTCACGTTTCAATTTTTCGATCGATTCATGTCAATCGAATCCATACTCTCTTTTATTCTGGCCCTTTTTGTTGTCCTCAGAGTTTACAACTTGCTCAGTTTTTCGATACTTCTTCCTGCGTAGTCCAAAATGTTAACATTCCTCATCGATATCAACGTTCCACAAGATCCATCAGCGGATCCAGCAAATTGGCAACATTGTTTATTCTCCATTTGAACCTATGGAAATGTATCGATTCTAGGAGAGGCCAGGAGCTCCGACAAGAATCGATTATATAGCATAGCTTTAAATGGAAGAAATTCGCTGTTGCCACATTGTTGATCTGCCTCTGACGAGATCGCTTAAATGCCAGGACGTTAAAACTTCAGATCAGACGTGGTATATACAAAAAGTAAAAGCACAAATTAGATGGACTTAAGTAACCTTAAGGAGTGGAGAGACGTATTCACCCCAATAGGCGACGTATTTTCGTCTACTTAGTGGTTTTTTTTGTCTGCATCCAGAGTTTTAACTGTCGACAATTAAAGCAATGTTGCGGAAAGTCGGGATCACCAATGAATGCTATGAATGACGAATATTAATTTTTTACTGTGTGATTGTCAAAAGTGAAACGACTCATATGAGGCATCAACCACTCGCACTTGCATGAAAATCTTTTGTCATATTGATATTTTTTTTGCCGGTACATTAGTTTCGGTCATCGAAACATTAATATATTGCGACACGCGCGCAACAGAACAATCCTATCCAACCCGACGTTACAATATGATTATCTCGTTGCCTTGGCGACCCATGGTAAACAGTCGGAATATTGAAACCGGAAGTGTTACACGTGTCCACTGCCTGAAAATCGAAACAATTCTTCACGATAGAGATCATTTCGATTTAAGATGTTGTGTAAATGGCTTTGAAATTTCAAAATCCGATTGAAATAGCCAGTCTCGTGTGCGTTTTGGAGGATGCCGTGAAGAAACTCATCATAGTAGAAAAACTTCATAAGCCAGCAGTGAGAGCAAATTCTCAGAGGGGAAACGCTTTTCTTACTCGGTAAAATTCCTTTATTCTAAGTATACACTGAAAAAAATTGTAATGTACATAGTGAGAGTCCATACTGCTTGGAAAATCTAAAGGTATGAACTGCTGGTACATACCGTCTGGCTTTCACGACTACAGCAGAGATGTGCCGTAAACATATCGTGTATGGAAAAGCATGGTGTGTATGAACTTACCTTTCATACGGTATGGACTCTGGGTCCATTCGGTATAGGCTCTGGGTCCATACGGTATGGAATGAACTCAGAGTACATACTCATCGTATGTAATATTTGTTCATACTAAAATGGACTCTATCTCTATTCATAGGTTGGCATCAAATTTTTCACAGGTCTGTATGTGGCCCCGACCCATAATTTATGAAGCGTGAGTGCATACATATGTTTCAGTGTACCTAAAAGTAGTCGAGCAATATGGTTTTTCCGGCTAAAAAATTAAACCTGAAATATAATTCAGTGTCATTTTGCACGAAGAATACTTAAAAATTTCAAAAATTGACCATTTGAAAATATTTTAACGTTAAAGGTGCATCATGTTGCATTACCTAGGTGAGGAGAAATTCATATAAGAGTAACTCCAGGTTGACGGTTTCCTGATCATCTTCACGATAATTTCCTTTGAGAAAGTGAACCGACTATTTTCAAACGCATTAATCGACAAGTATTGTTCTCTTAACATTACAAACAACATAAAAAGGAACACGTTTATAACACAGAGACAAAGCTTGGTTAAATTCTATAGCGATGTTGTTCATATTTCAGGAATTCGACAACTCAAATTCTGCGCATAACCCGAGATGAGCTCTTGGAAAGTGGTTCTTACCGTTGCCTCAAAGCTTATGTTCAAAAACAGTCGGATCAACAACACAAAAATGCCAACTTAAACGAATCACATTCGCAGGTTTTAGTGGAAATCAAGAATGCCAAAAAAAGTATTGAAGATATCACTAGATCAGGAAAACAAGCTTTGCAAGAGGAGACAAACACGATCTCAGAGATCGTGGTAAGTATCGTACTTTTGTTATAAATGTGGCTTGGAATAGTTCGGCATTTTTTTTTTTTTTTACGAAAGAGGCAAAATTTTCAAAGCCGTAAATATGATGCTCCATGAATTGCAAGCTCACGCCTCGCGCCATGGCACCTTCAAATTTGCAGATGCAACACGGACATCCATCAAGCATGAATAGTTGTATCTCTGCGCCGTCCTTTCCCTTGTTCTATTTCCATATCGACGGTGTAAGACGGCAATCACGTAACTCGTGAGCGGTGTCTGAAAATCTCCGTCTCTATGTCATTTATTTAAAAGGAGAAAATGACAGATTGACATCATTCCTTGAAGTTTTTGCAGAATTTTCTTCGCAGAGAAAAGAGAAATCATGGCAGTTTTAAAGAATGCCGTTGAGTAGTCTTCCGTTTAAAAAATAAAGTATGATAGGAAGTCTGCGACGTCGGAAACCGAGCTATGTGATTGCCGACTTACACCGTCGATATTGTGTTTCTTTTATTCGTAGTGATACTTCAAAGGCTACATGAGCAACACAGGTGAAGATAGGACAGGTGTAAATGGGCCCTTTTTTTTAAACTTTCCTCCTGAATCTGAGCGGCTCCTCATGTCAGCATACAACGGATTCACGCCTCGCGCAATAGCATCCTCAATTTTGCAGATGCAACACATTCGGCACCCGAACCGAGCTTCGTTCGGAACGCTTGTCGGCGCGGCGGCGCGGCGGTTCCGCGCGGCATCTTCGCCCGCGAAAATGACGTGGCGCGACAGCCACCGGAACCGAGGCTTTAAGCAGGTTCCTAGAGCACACCCCATCTTTTTCAATCGTCTATAGTTCTGGTTAGCAGAATAATACGTCCATATGAATGGCGACAGCCGACGCACAGTAGATCGAGTCAATTGGAGAGGTTGGACATGAAATTTTTAACCATAACTGCAAATTCAATGTTTATTTCGTCATATTTTAAATTCAAGAGATGGTTCTGGAAGAAAATTTCCCGAGAATTTGAACGGAACCACTTGTATGACCGCAAAAAGTTGTAAGAACGGAGTTATAAGCGTTAAATTTTCCAAATTTTATCCGACCTCTCCTATTGACTCGACCCACCTTGCGACGGAGGGGAGGTCCGTGCGCTACAGTTGCATCCTGTGAATCAAAATTTCAAATTCGAAAGTTAAAAGTATTGAGTATTATATTCCCGTATGAAATAAAATTAAAATTGTCCTTTTTTATTTTGATAACGTAGGACGATATTCAAGGAGAGCTCTCGTGTAACGCAGCGCGAATGAGTTTAGCAGAGCGATGGGAAGATGCTCGAGAGCAGCAGAATATGTTCAAGTGTCAAATGGAAGAGGCGAAAATCGAAACGAAAGTCCAGGAAGCGGTCGCTGCCATCGATTCTGAACATCGAGTTGACGCTGAGATAGAAAACTACCTCCATCTTGCTATTGCGGTACGGAACAAAGGAGAAGTATCGTTGATGTAATGGTGCAACCTCCTACCAAAATTGCACCGAATTGCCTGTGTCACACTATCAAAGCTAGCCATCAAAATATCAAGGTCAGGTGTTGTGATTGGCTAATTCGATGACTTGGACCAATCACAGCTCTGGACCTTGACATTTGATGGAGAGTATTTTGATAGTCTGACAGAGGCTATCTCACTCGTCTATAGCCCCGTCTGACAGAAATACGTCAAAATTACCATCACGTTCATTGAAGGCGAACTCGATAGAATGAGAGACACGCAGTAAGGTAGTAAGCATAGTCATCGACGGGTATTCCTTGCCGGGACTAAGCGAGAGTAGCAAAACTACTGCATACGACTATTCGTACTCCTAAGCCGCTCAAATTGCCGTCTCGCTTGTTGAAGGCGCACTCAACAAAATGAGTGGCCCGCAGTCATGGGCAAATCATACATTTTTCGGGAAGGGGGTGGCACAAGGGCACCTCATCAGGGGGGGGGGGGGTCTAAGATGGCACAATAAGACTTTCACTCCACTCAGAAGTATCTGCGGGATATTACATGGTCTCCTGGATGAGGTCATCGAAGGTTTCAAGGATGTTACGTGTATTTTAGACACACACTGTCTAGATTATTTTTGTTTTAAAATATTTTTTACTTCATTTTGCGTATTCATTTTATGCCTTTTCTGTCTAAAATTTATTTTTGCATTTAAGATGAGTTATGATGTGCACATTGGCATCTGTTGGTTAGAAACTGAAAGATGAGATTGAAAATTGGACGAAGCGGTATGATGAGGAAATCGCCGAGCGTGAGGCTGAATTAGCATCCTTGATGGAAACAAGGAACGCAGCATTGGAGAAACTAGAGCGGTTAAATTCAGAGGTGAGTAATTTCGTCGGTTTTTCTTAAGGTTCGGACAGGAATAATATCTTCCATGGAAAACCCATGAGGTCTATTTCCGTCAGCTGTGTCCACATTTGAATGGATGTCGCCTGCGATTTGTTGGTTTCCTTGTACGAATTTATTCATGTTTTTTAAAAGCCATAAGCCAATATTTTTGCATAATCTTTCACGAAGAACACTGGAAAAAAAACACATTTGATCTAGAGTCCAGACTCTTAAAAACATTGATAAGAAAAAGTACTCTTGATTCAATCAGAATCCAGCTTAAATCAAGAACCAAGCCTCATAATTTAAGCGGATTTCGTTTTGATTCAAGCAAAAATCCGATTGAATCGATAGTATTTTTTCTTGTCAATGTTTTCAAGAGTCTAGACTCCAATGTGTTTTTTTTTCCAGTGAATAGTCTTGAAAGAAAATGCAAGTTTTCGATGTGTATCAATTATTGGCTCTCTGCTATAAAATTTAATTATGCCATTTGCGCCAGTCATAAGTTAGAAAGAAGTTGTACAATTTTACCAACATTGCAATGCTCTTGGTTTCTATTTGCAAAATGCAATCCAAAATACCTACGGTTGAATTTCGAATTTGTCGACCAACAGCGCGCATGTTTTCTGCATGCACGTTTGACACACTATTACCAATTCTCTGGAGACTTGAACGCAAGGATAGAAAAGTTGGACGAGTGATTTTTATTACAAGGTTGCGTTCAAAAAATATGTAACGCTAAATTTCGGATTTTCGAACCAAAAGTAGGCATGTTGTATGTATGCATGCGCATACGAGACACACTATCTCAATTATTTGGAGACTTTACGAAAGGTTAGAAAAGTTAAACAAGTAATTTTTGTTATAGGGGGCCGCTCATAAAAAAAGTAATTCTGGTCCATTCTCTTGTCTCACAGACAGTCCCAGTCACCCTCTCTTTCTTTTGCCCCCCCCCTCTTCTTTCACTCTCATCTTTCGTGCTTACTTTGTCAACTTATTAGTGACTGATGAACTTATTTTCTTGAAATTTTGCTCTTTTAAGTTTACGGGGCGGCAGAAGGAAATAGAAGACTACTTGGCAACGAAAGAGGATCTCAGGCGGTCTAAGGAGAGAGAAGAATATTTGAACAAGATGGCGACGAAAATTCAAGCTTGGTGGCGGGGCACAATGGTACGAAGACATTTAGGGCCATACAAGTATTTCAGTAAAATAGCACGCCCTCAAAAAAAAGGGAAGGGGAAGAAAAAGTAAATTCAACAGGATCTTTCAGATTTATATTATACTGGCATTCAAATTGTAATATAGACTGCGGCTCTTCTCGCAGATCGCAATTCATATCGTGAATTTTGCCATGAATTTTTTTTGCCATGATTAAAAAAATGAAAAAAAAGATACGTTTAGTTTAAAATTTAAAACAAAATGTATTTCATAACTCTTCAATGAATGTACAAAGATAAAATGTAATGATTTGATTTAGAAGAAACAATTGATTATTCTTATATTTGGCAGTATCCTTGACTTGATGATGAAATTATACATGGATATTGAAATATACATGATCATGATCACCATGCACTTAAATAGTGGGAAATGGGCCACTTATTAGAATATACAAGACTTGGCCAGAAGACAAGCGTACCTACGTATTAAATCTTGAACTAATTTACAGAAAATAGTTTGTTATTTGTCTCTCTTATCTTTTCTCCTTGTGATACATATTTTATCCCAATACTTTTGATAATATAATTAATAAAAACAGACAGNAACTCTCGGAAACTTAAGGTCGGAGGGGGGTGGATTTGGCTTTAAAAGCGTCTTAAGCGAAAGAGGCTGAAAAATTTGGAAGTCTGAAAATTTTGCGGACATCGGGACGTCAAGGGCTTTAACCAGAGTCAAGCATCGTCGAAATCGGTCCGGTAGAACTCCAGAAATAAGCGTTACAGTGAAACCCCCAACGATTTTATTTATATAGATAAAAACAGACAGAGGTTATATATCTCTGCTGATCTTAAGTATTTCAGCTAAGCAATGCTTGTTGTGAACATCATTGATTAGCTTTTCTCCTCTTCTTTTTTGATTGAAAAAATATCCAAGATAGAAGAATAATAGACGCAGGTATTTAAATCAAATAGACCATATTTGTATAGTGTCTTGGGCCTTGAGGCCCATATTGATTCATGTGCGACAGGGTAAACAGTGCCCGTGTCACAATAGAGACGGTCTTTCTTAATTTGAATACGTCCAATTACAGGTCTTATGAATATCGTTTAGAGATAACTGCGATTCACCTCCTTTTTTCTCAAGAGCTATCCAATGATTACATATTGCTGATCATTTTATGAGCTCTGAAGATTGTGATGATTGTATTAGTAAACAAAAAGAAACACAGGGAAATTGAATGGTACATATCCTCTGAAAGTTACTGGCGAAATATTTTTCAAAAGGCCACGGAAAAATATAATTTCTAAGAAATTAGTTTAAAAGTTTGAAAAAATAGAAAATAATCCATATACGTACGTTAATGTGACCGTCCCAAGGAGAGGGAACCGCAGTCCTAAAAAAGTTAAAATTGAGTTATTGGTATATCATCGCTGAAAAGAATTTTTCACGAAATTTTTGGCACAAAAAACGTCCAACAATGTAAATCCAGGCCCAGTCTGTCAGTTTGATGTTTACGGTTAAAAAAATTACGCAGTTTGAAACACCATGTTCGGAGGTCAAAATTGTTGGATCGAAATGCAATATCACGCCGTCTATCGACACAGAAGTGGAGAAAACAACAGCTCGCAGATATTCTCTTGGGATACTAAAGAGCAATTTTTGTAGATTAAACAAAAGTTTCATACTCATTTTTTGACCTGACGCGACAAAAATAACTCTGTCAAAAAAATCGTCCCTATTCCGTGAACGGTCACAAACGTTCACAAAAAAACACCTGACAGTAGAAATAATGATATTTTTGAGGGTTTCATTCAATTTTTTTAAGTCATCGTAATATATAGAAACAAGGGTCACTTACTCTCCGCATCTATTCTCACACTCACAAGTTCAAGAACACATAGATACCAATAAATATTTTGCTCTGGCAAAGTCTGAACCATGACTTCACGATGATCACTGATCAGTTATACTGTAAACTTTTAATATCTATAAAAATACGTCGAAAACTTGGCAGAGGGACGGGAATACAATTACGACTGTCTAAAATCTGTACATACGAGTTAGCCAATTGGAAGACATGAAAAGCGACGCGACATACATCTAAATACGGGCAGACCTTGAAAGAAAAAGGTTAATTTACGAAGGTTTTATGCATAGAGTACATAGAGTCGTAATGTAAGTGGGAGAGCTGGCGCCACTTTTAAGCATTTTCCATGTCCCGAATTCCGAGACTCCTGTGTGACGCCGGGTCACTTTTTCGATACATAATCGATTGTTTGCGATACACGGGTACCCGGCCATCCGATGACAACAACAACAACAGAGGAGATAGGAATTACCACGTATTCCACACCGCCATTTTTGATCGAAAATGTATCAAAAAAGCGACCCGAACTCGGCGCACACCGGGCTCGGAATTCGTCGAGCAGAACATGGCGCCAGCTCTCCCATGAAGGCCTTGTCTCCACGAGCCGTTTCGCGAGATTTGTCCCAGGGAAAACTCCCACTTACGAAGTTGGGAAAAATATTGAGTTAATCAATATTTTTCCCAGTACCAAGTATGGTACTTGTACCCCTAGGACCCACTGAGAGAAGAAGAAGAAGTGAAAACGAATTTTGCGATATTTTATTCATTACTACATTGTTCATGTTTGTTTAGTTAAAAAATGTGTCTAATTGTCAATTGTGTGCAATTATTATTTTAATCCCGGTCAAATACTCGACTTTAACTAATTTATCTTCCCGCACAAATTAGTCGCAGGACTACAAAGAGCCCCGTCCCGTGGAGACGGTAACTGGGAAAAATCCCAGAAGTTTCACTCCTGCGATTCGAACTTGGGAAAAATCCCATGAAAACGTCCCGTGGAGACAAGGCCTTACATTACGACTAGATGTACTCTATGGTTTTATGTGAATAAGATAATCTTTAGAAGAAATCTCCTGGATTTTAAGGTGGAGAACTACTGCTGTCCGGCTGTATTTGCTGCGTCTCGACGTCCCCGTAGGCGATAGTGAAGACACTCTTCTTCTCCAGCAACTCCTGGTGTTTGTGGACGATGTTCTGCGGGCCCTTCGAGTGGTTTGCCATGACGATCCCTGAATCTATCTCGTCCTCGGATCCCTTTACAAGGACACCGTTGCCCATGATTTTCGGGCCATTTTTCCCGGGCGTACTCTTGAGCAACTGCGATCTCGACCTCACGGGTGTGGCGCCAACTTTTGCCTTCTGCTCGTCTTTTCGTTTCCCGGTCGCTTGCCAATCGGCGCCCTCTTTTTGAGCCTTTTCCTTCAGCCTCAACTTTCCGTCCGCTCCGGTTGTCTCCAGGCAATTCCTGTTCCTGGAGAGAAACCTGGCTTTCAAGGACTTCGGGATATAGTCCTGGGTACGCAGCTGCTTCTCCAATACTTCGGGGTGGATCTCGGCACAGGATTGAGCCTTCTTCAGGCCGGATTCCTCGAGCTCTTTCGCCCTGGCTTTGGCGACCCTACTTCTCAGGTCACGCTCGCTGCCGCGAAGAAGGGTGTCTTCGCGAAATCTGGAAAGACGTATAACGATTAAAGACAGTTTGACCGGAACAAAATTCCTCTGAAAATAGTCCACGGCTGAAGAATGTTCAATGCAGATTAAATTAGGCACCTATTTCAATACTATACGGGATGCGCTCCGGATTCAGGAACCATGGCTTTATCAAATGGCTGTGCAACGAGGATGGGGGCTTACAGCCGATAAATGGACTACATTTTGCAATGAGGAACTATAAATTATAGCCCGGTTTAAAAACGACGTATGTGCTATTAGTTTCCCTATGCACATAAGTGTTTTTCAGAAGAGCCAGAATTTATAGTTCCAAATTGCATAATGTAGTCCAAATATCGTTCTCAGACCCTAGGTCCCCCCCTCATTGTATCATTGTACCAGAAGGTTCCCTCAAAAATGAATGGGGGTGTAAATCATGTCTGATATTGAACGCAAGCATTAATGGGAGATAAAAACCACTTTGTATGATCTATGGTAAGAAACTGATGGGCAACTGATAGTCGAAAGACACTCGAAAGCCTCCTCATTGAAGTAAATAAGAAAAGTAAAATAGGATTTCCTTCATTTTTTAGAAGAAAAAAAGAAGAAACTCAGATTCTGCCTCTGGACAGGGGTACAACTGAAGCAGAGAAGTGAACATAGAAAAACACTCTCTTTATCATTTATTTTACAATTTATTTCGATGTATATGAACTAACCTCTTTGATTTTTGGGGGTTTGCCTGGTTTAAAAAATATTTCCTAGTCATTTCGAGGCAAGAAAACGGTTGATTTCCACCTTCATTATCTCCTACTGCCAACTCGACACTGCCTACACTCCTAAACAGTCGAGACTGTCTTTTCTTTCATAATTTTTCGTTCCCAAAAGACAGCTCTATGCCCTAAAAAAATAAATATATACCTAAATAAAAACCCCATGGTAATTTCATTTCGAAAGATGGAATTTATGTGGAAGTTTTGAGATCCCACAATGGAGATGCGTGTTTTCCTATTTTCATCATCGATTTAAAATTGCCGAACCCATTTTCATAGGGTGATTAAAATTTTTTGTGCATATGTTTAAATCTGAAATTATCAGCGAAAAGAAGGGATTTTTTGAAGATAACTTCAGTACAAAATAATAGTAAGTAAAGTATTAGAATGCTTAAACTCGGACCTTGCCTATAGTGGTCCATTTTTCAAATGTATATATGAGTGGCTTTTACAGCGCTCTTTGGCGCTTTACGACGCCTAATCGCCACAAAGCTCGGTCTTCCCACAGGCCATCAGGGAGTTGACACTCCCTCATCTCGTTTAACACCCCCGGTCGCCCTGGGCGTCCCCACGTCTCCTCCCAGGAGGAACCCAATCAAGCATTTTTCCATAAAATCCATTTTTCATAAAACCTTAAAAATAATTGAATGAAAAAACCTTTGGCTGTTGATCAAGTCGGTAAGGCTCCTGGAGGAGCTGGAGTGGAGAGCTTTGTGCTTTCTGGCGTGTTTGTTGGCGCAGCTCTCCGGGGAGCTCTCGCTCTCCTCGATGATGGGCGACTTGATGGGGCGGTTGTGGTTGTGGTTGGCCTGGCCCTTGCCGTTCCCGCCGGAGTTGATGAGGATGCTGATGAGCCGGGCTTTGCGTCTCACGCCCCCGCCGCCGACCCCGCCGATCCCCCGGTGACCCTCGTCGCTGTCGCTGCTGTCCCCGCAGTCGCTCTTCGCCTTCCGCCTCGGCGGCCGAACCCACGACGCGTCCGTCTGCGTCGCCTGGTTGCAGTCAGTCTGGGTCCCCATCGACAGCAGTGTGTTTCCTTCAAGAAAACAATCATCTCGATTCAACTCTTTGTGATAATAGAGTACCTACGTGGGGGAAGGACGGACTTGTCGAAATATGGAACCCTTATACGGTAAAAAATTTTGCGGCAGTATCCCTATACCCCGAAATTTTCAGCAGCTGAAACCGAGTTTGGCGGTTCCGGCTATCGAAATTCGGCAGAACTGCCGAAAGCTCGGCATGGTGCTACCGAGCATTCGGCATGGTGCTACCGAGCATTCGGCATGGTGCTACCGAGCATTCAGCATAGTGCTACCGAGCATTCGGCATAGTGCTACCGAGCATTCGGCATAGTGCTACCGAGCATTCGGCATAGTGCTACCGAGCATTCGGCATAGTGCTACCGACGATTCGGCGTAGTTCTACGGGGCATTCGGTAGTTCTGCAAATATTCAGCCGCCAGGACCGCAAACGACTCCAGCTGCCAATAATTTCGGGGTGAGGTAACTGCCCCAAATTTTTTTACCGCGCAGGGCCAGCCAAAAGGCAAATCTCAAAAAGGCAGCCAACCCTTTAACACAAAAAACACCAGGGAAATACCGATGCCAATCTTCATATTCCAATATCACAAAGGATACCAATTGGAGACACCAATCCGGTATGGACGAGACAAGGTTAACAATAAGTAAGTTCGGCCTCTAATAATCTCTTCACCCAAATTCCTAACGTGGTACATACTTGTATCCTCTTTATAATCCTCTCCAAATAATGGCTTGCTTATTTTCTTATCTAATCGTTAAAGTCACTAAAATGCACGTCCATTCCATGCAGATTTCAAACGACTGTATGTCTCCTGGAGGGAAGCACGAAGTGCAAATAATAGTTCACAATTTTAGTCTTTGTGCGCCAAGATTAAAATGGATGCAGTATTCATCGTGATAAGTGTATTATTTATCAACTATTCCTTTGTTCTGAAGGCTAAATTAGTGGCATTGCCATTCCTTTCTATAGCGTTATCACCCATGCGTTGTATCGTTAAGATTTCTACCTTTTGCTGTTGTCGGGAACAGAGATGTTTTCACGCCCAATTCAGAGACTTTAACGACGGGATATAAAAAATAAACACATTATTACTACGGAAAAATGAATTGTCAAGAAACTGTTCTTGTTCGATCGATTTTGGTGGAACTGGGTAACAGGGGGTATTTTTTGACGAGAAACTCGATTTTTTATTTAAATTTTCTAAATTCCAATATTAAAGATGGTGGGCGTGGCTTAAAGTGCTACAGAGGATTTTCCAATAGAATCAATCCTTGTAATCAAGACAAATATATATATTTTCTGTTCATTTTTGAAGAGGTTCATTTTTTTTCCTCTTTCGGAGGTCAAAAATGAAAAGAACGCTAAAAATTACTCTCAGTTACCAATTTTCATGAATACTGGTTGATAAACATTGTCACAGTGTTAAAAAGGCGATTTTCTTTCTCCAACTCTGGGGAGTCGTGACCCTCAGGGTAAGCGTTTTTGGGAAAAAAAGTTATACTCGAAGAACGTTTTTTGTTACCTAAAGAATCGACTCCTTCAATATTCGCACTTAACCCTGAGACACCCAGGGGCGGACTGGTAGTCGAAAAGTTAGGAGGCGACCTAAATGTGGGGGCCCCTCCTGTCGTTCGGAGGCCCCCACCCCCGGCAATTTACACACTTTTTAAACGCAATTTTAAGCACTATTGGAGTTAAATTCTACAGTACTTGAACTTCAAAATAACCCATTTTCAGGATTCTTCGGGGACCCTTTCATCACATAAGCTTTAGGCGACCTTTCATGTCTCTTAGAGAAAAATTTTCAAGGATTTGGGGGCCTTTTAGTGACTGAAAAGGATAGAAAAATTACAACATTACGGAGAAAAAAACGATGACTCGAAACAAATTCGCCGCGGGGGCCCTANTTTTGTCGTAAACGCACGATTTCAGCGTAAAATCGAGTTTTTTGCACGAAATGGAGGTCTAAACCAAAATATCATAATTTCATCACAAAATTGACCTTTGGCACCATTTAAAATGGTTGAAATTGGCCCAAATTTTGGCAAACATGTTGTTTTACCAAACGTCATCGATTGCCGCCTGGGGAGCGGAACATTTCAGACTTTCATTTTTTTTGACGCACCCTAGGGGGCCCCTTCGGGACTTCCGCGGCAAGTTGTTAGGGGGCGATCGCCTCCCCGCCCCCATGGCCAGTCCGCCCCTGGAGACACCCTGCGTATAGTTTCTAAATCGTTGGAAACGGGGTTTACCTGGAAGACTCTGAGTATCGATAGCCTGGCGATTGCGGTGGCTCCGCTGCTGCTCCTCGATGAAGTACCTCGTGAGGAGGAGATTATTGGAGAGGAGGTTCTCGTTGATGCTGGAGACCTGCTCCTCGTTGCCCTCGCCGTCGATGAACCTCTGCATGATCATCTTCTTGCCGAGCTCCTCGCCGGTGGTGAGGCTATCGGCCTCCTTGCTCAGGTGGCTCGGGGCGGCCTCCAGGCTCTGGGCGCGCTGCTGCTGCTCGCCGTGCTCCCGCGTTCTCAGCCGCAGGATCTCCGCGTTGCCCTCCTTGATGAACATCTCCTCGTGGCTCGCCTTCTCCAGCCGGGAGAGCGGCTCCGAGGTGCTCTCCTCGTAGCCGCCCCGCTCCTGATCCCGCTCCCCGCCGCCGCCTTGCCTCACGCTCCCATTCCTCACGCTGACAACATAGATAGGTTTAACATGATTCAGATATGTGTCATGCTCCGCAGTCCGTGACAAGATATACAATAATAACAATGGACTAATGGAGATGTTGCATGTGTGAGGGATTTGCGATTTGACCGTTGATTCTAATGTAAAAGTTCGCGAGAAACACGATGGCGCCACTGGTTTTCTCTGAAATTAACTCCCAAGCTCAAAAAAGCTCTCAAATTGAGGCCAAAATGGAGGGGATATCCCACCCTACCCTTAGAGTACCTGTATAGGGAGAGTAGCGACAGATCGGTTCATGGAGGGCTTAGGGACCAAAAGTGCAGCCACCCTTCTGAGCAACTTCTAACACACAAAATTTCACTGCCAGCCTACAGATTTCAATTCTAACCAAGATGGCTAAGAATGTACATAAATGAGCGTTCTTTCGCAAAAATAAGTAAATNCCAAAAATCAGCAAGATCGGTCGAACAGGAGCCGAGAATGCCGAGAAAGCATTATGCCGTCCTGTCTATAGTTCCGAATTGCAAAATGGGAAATCCGAGTTTCGCATTACGCAATACGGAACCATAGTATAGGTCCCAATTGCAAAATGAACTTCGCGTGATCCTGCGACGGCAAATTTTTGCGGGGTCGCTGAAGCGGGATAAAAATTGTTTTTGAGGATTTTCTTTTTCTCAATAGTAAGTAAATACCCTCCTGATACGGAATTCATCATAAAAAAAAATCGAAAATTTGACCCTAGTTCCTTATTGCATAAAGCTGTCCAATTGTATTTGTAAATCGCTCTGGACATTCGAAATTCATAGGTTGGCTGCCCTTTTGGGCCCTAACTTTATTCACGGAGGCATCGGTGAAGGCCTGATGGACTTTCGGAGTTTCAGATCTATCGCTACTCTCCCTATACAGGTACTCCACCTACCCTGAGAGTCCACCTCTACATCAAGACAAACTCTCCATGCAAAGATAGGGCGCAAATACATTGACAGGGTTGCCATGATTTTAGTTTTAGAGTCCCTAAATAAGGTTGCAGCCCTATCAATGCATTTGCTCCTTATCTTTGCATGGAGAGTTTGTCTTGATGTAGAGGTGGACTCTCAGGGTAGGGTGGGATACCCCCTCCATTTTGGCCTCAACTTGAGAGCTTTTTTTGAGCTTGGGAGTTGATTTTAGAGAAAACCAGTGGGACCATCGTGTTTCTCGCGAACTTTTACATAAGAATCAACAGCCTAATCGTAAATTCCTCACACATGCAACATCTCCATTTGAACAGCAGGTAACAAGGCTAATTTTCACATCATTGGCGGATCCAGCAAATTGGCAACATTGTATTTTCTCCACTTAAACCTATGGAAATGTATCGATTCTTGGAGGAGCCAGGTGCTCTGACAAGAATCGATTATTTAGCATGGGTTTAAATGGAGGGAATCCGGAGTTGCCATATTGCTGGATCCGCCTCTTCATGAATACCACTAAAACGTTTCGGCTGAAAACTACCTCAGTTGGATTAAAACAGTAAACATTTTTAAAAATCTAAAAACTTAGTACTTTACTGTACTTTTCAAAACGAGAAAAATGTTGTTATCAAACACGATGTACTGTACAGGTAACAACATTTTTCGCGCTTTGAAAGGTACAGCCAAGTACTAGGTTTTTAGATTTTTAAAAATTTTTACTATTTTTATCCAACTGCGGAAGGCCGCGAAACGGTTTGGTGGCTCTTATGTAAAAATTAGCCTTGTTACCCGCTGTTGATTATTGTATTGTTTAATATGATTAGCGCCGTATTGTAAAATAAAGACTCACCAGAGGGGCAACTGTCAGCCATCATCGTTCTGAAATCTGAATTCAGTCCGCTGATTCAGGCATTCCCCAGTAAAAGGGAACATAATCACCTCGTCATGGAGACAACGCTTCATATAACAAATCATTATAACGTCACTCTAACTTCACTCTGACATCATTTTGACCATTCAGACATCTCTATGATGTCTCTATGATGGCAGACTGTTCAGCGGACATCACAGTGACATCACACTGCTTTATATATGTGGTGGATGTTATTATGACATCAGAGTGTTGTCTCAATGTTCAACTTTTACTGAGTTTGGTGAATGTATAGGGGAGTGGAGCCAGTTAAAAGATGATACATAGAAAGACACGAAAGGAATAGAAGGAAGTAAGAGAAACAGAGGAGGTGCAGGAGAGCAAAAGTAAATTCTTTAAAGGATCAAGTGCAAAACTACGGTTTCTCTAAAAATATACAACTAATTTTATTAATGTAACCCTAGAAACGAAATTCCTTGTTTATTGTGTACAACACGTTGCTCAGTTCATCTTTTTATCAAGTTTTAATCGATGCTATATATCGCATGCCAGTTCGACCACGTCACTTGAGCTTAACGAATCACCTTAAAAACGGCTAAAAATTCCTTTCTAGACGTCTCGATAAGCAAAATAAATTTGGGGATGTTCCCCGTCCTTCCCTTAAGGGCATGTTCCTAGCCCTGCCTCAGCTCGGGCGACGTACAGACATTTTTTGCGCCTCCCGAACAGCTATTGATTTGGTGTCCGTCTGTGACCCTCCGGTTACTCCACACAAAAAATTACTAGTTCTGAACATGTAAGAGACTTGTTCAGAGTCAAGTAGAGGCTCTCCATTAGTATCTTGGAAATTGTAGAAGCTATTACTTTTAGGACTCCAACATTCACCTGTGGAACTGCCTACTAGATGGGTGTTTAACATAATGTTGAACATTTCGTTTTGCAAACACATCGAAGTTTGGTGAACTTGTTTGGCTTACTATTTCACCTGAAGTTCACCATCCATCTGGTAGGTAGGTTAACAGCCGAACAAAGTAAGATGACATGTTGCCAGCTTATATTTGTCCGTAAGGAAGTGTTGAATCCCCGAAAGTAAAAGTAACCAGTCGCTTAGAGGTCAGGCGAGTCTCTACTTGTCTCTGGATTTGCTCATAGAGCACAATAGAGCTGCAATGTACTGCAGCGCTGATGAAGTCAATCCTAGAACGATGCATTTCTAGCCTCCTGTTCGTCGGAAAGTGCGAATCATCATACGGCATTTTTTAACACGGCGCACCATGGATCGAGTCAATTAGAGAGGTCGAGCATGAAATCTTTGACGAAAACCGCAAATTTTAATATTTATTTCGACACATTTTAAACTTCAAGGGGTATTTTCAGAGGGAAATCTTACGAGGAAATCAGATCCTCGATGTTTTGTAGAAACGGAGTTATTAGCGTTTAAAGGTTCCAAATTTTGTCCGCCCTCTCCTATTGACTCGATCCACTGTGCGGCGGCTTATAGGAGATCCGCGGGTCGCGAGTGGTTTTTCAGATTTATTAATTTAAATCGATAATTTTTCACGAATTTTGGCAAACCATGTTGATCAAAGTTTGATCAACCAAAGTTATAATAAATTAAGGAATGTGCGAAACTCCCGGTTTTTATGAAATCAATTTGATACCTACATATATTCTGTTTGAGCTAGAGTACCTGTATAGCGAGAGTATGGACAGATGTGAAACTCCGAAAATCCACCAGCGATGCTTCTGCGAATAAAGTTAGGGCCCAGAAATGCAGCCAACCCATGAATTTCAATTATCCAGAACGATTTACTAATACCATTGTTACGAACCGTCGTTTATAAAGCACGCATCTGACTCAGTTTTTGCATAAATTTACTCATTTTTGCGGAAGAAGGCTCATTTCTGCACATTCTTGGCCATCTTGGTTAGAATTGGAATTTGCAGACTCTGCAGATTGACAGTGAAATTTTGTGTGGTAGAAGTTGGTTAGAGGGATGGCTGCACTTTTGGGCCCTAAAGACCTCCATGAAGCGATCTGTCCATACTCTCGCTATACAGGTACTCTAGTTTAAGCCGAGAACCCGCGCATCGCCAGTCGCCGCACACTAGTCTCCAGAGTGCTGGACAAAACCGCCTCAAAAAGTGACTTCACCAGTGCTCCAGACACACCGAAAAATAAATCTTGGTGTATTTACTAAGAAAAGGGTAAAATTACCAAGAATTCAGGGTTCTATTTGATCCCAGTTTTTTCTAGGTAAAATTACCATTTACGGAATTGGTAATCTTACCCAGAAATCTCGGTAAAATTATTGAACTTTCTCGGTAATTTTACTGGACCTTGGTAAAAACGCCAATATTTTTTATCGACCACGGTAGAATTACCGAGATAAAATGGCAAAGTTACCGGGAATTGATTACCAATAAAAGTGGTATTCCTATCTGAAAAAACAGTAAAAATACCGGTTTTTAGGTAAGCTTACCAGTCTATCTTGGTAAAATTACCAATAATTGGTAGAAAAAGTGAGATGGTAAAGGTACCAACGGACCTTGGTAAAAACGCCGAGAATTTTTTTTTCAGTGAAGAGTGCTGGACAACACCGCCTCAAAAAGTGACTTCACCAGTGCTCCAGACGTTGCGACTCTATCGTACTCTATGGAGTTGTTACAGCAAAGACATACATATATTCAGTAAATAAGAGTATACGTACGTATACGTACTTGGCGTTGTGCGGCCGCGCGTCGGCCCTTTCGATCTCGAGGGAGTCCCTGTCGAACTGGGCGACGTCGGAGCCGCGCTCGACCTCGTGGCGCCTGAAGGAGTCCTGCTCCAGCTCGAGCCTGGAGTGGTGGTTGTGGTGGTTGTGGTGGTTCGGGAGCCGCGCCGGGTCCAGCACGTGGAACTCGGGCTCGTCCAGGTCCTCCAGGTAGATCTGCTCGCCGCGCTGGTGGGGCTCCCGCGCGTAGATCACGTTCCCGCCCCCGTGCCCGTGGTCGACCAACATCGGCATCCGCCTCGTCCGGCCCGCCGAGCCGGGTCTCGTCCCGGCCGCTTGCCCGGTCGTCGTCACCAGGATGTACGCCGGGTCCGGCTCTTTCCGCCGCCCCCGCCCTCGGCTGTAGTACCAGACGGGCGGCTCTTTCCCCTCCTCGCTCTCCGCTGCTGAAATCGTACCCGGTGAAAATCAGGTCTCTAGCCTCAAAATGAAGGATTTACACGCAAGTCTTTTATTGGGGCTTGGAGGACAAGGCGCAGTTTTTGAAAAATTGAGATATTCATGATTTCAAGTAAAACTAGTCTTAATGCATATTCTGAGAAAAGTTTGCTACCAAATTCCAATTTTTCAGCATCGAAAAGTCAGTTGGAGCTTTCTCTCCGCCATAAGGATCCATGTTGGTTCGAAACTTCGAACTCGTATTTCTCGAAATTGTAAAAACTGCACTTATGCGCCTTGTCCTCCAAGCCCTTCATTTGAGATTGCTTAAAGAGCTGATTTCGCAGTATTTTTAATAATTTTTATCGGTAATGGGAAAAAGTACAAAACTGTATTTAATAAAGTGAAAAATGTGCCTCCTTTTTTTTTCTAATAACGTCCACACTTGGAACCACGGCCCCTTAAAATTTTGGGAAAATAATATTTTTCTTAATTTTAGCGAAGATTATGGACCAAAATTCATAATTATTAATCCACTAATCAAATAAAATTAATACTAAACATTTAAAGCAAATCTTAAGATTTGATCCTCCTAAACAGACTGCATAGACACCTCAGGCATCAGGACCGTAAGCCTGCATTGCCACATTGGGCATCAGGACCATAGGCCTGCAATAGCCTGCATGGACTTCCAGTAAGAAATCTTCGCATTTGTGTGTCCTCGGGCTTTGCCCCTTAATTTTTAGCTAGATAAGAAGAAACTGTTGTGATTGGTGTATGAAATATGTTTTACCTTGAATTCCTTTGGATTCTTGGAAAAATCTTCTTTTTTCTACAGAGTCTGCCGACTGTACTTTCCTCTGTCTTCGCATGTAACCAAGTGTAAACAAAACGATCAAATGATGAGTACATAAAAATTTACATTCAAAATGTTTAATTACTTAAGCTCTAAAATAAAAACCAGAATGAGAAAGTGAACATTTTCATAAAAATCGCAAGTGTATAACAGGTTTAGATTGTGAAAATTTCCGATCTACATGACTCTTAAAAGTGGATGGGATCTATTCACCCTAGTATACCGGGTGAACTGAACAGATTCTAATATTTTCACCTCTCTTTGCTATTCTTGGTAATACGTATGTGCATGGAGTGATAGGATGGGGGAGGGGGGGATTTGAAGACCACGACACTGCTGGTTTTGAATAATTTCGATAAAGTTTATTATTTTTGTTACCTTTTAATGATTCCATGAAACTGGAACATGCTTCGACTATCATTAGACATGATCCTATAGTTCCACCACAGCAACTGATGATACTGTCTAAATGCACATGATACTTTTTTCTTATTTGACTATTTATTCTATCTTGATGATTTCAACTTATACCTACGACAATTTATTTTAATCGAAGAGAAAATTTGAAAAACCAATTCGAAAACTACCTGGTGAAAAATGCGTAGAGTGGACAGCAAGGACAAAGTCCACAGAGAAGAAACGAGAGTAGTGCTAGTAAGATCAATAGTGCCAGCAGAATGAGTAACCAGAAAAGAAGCTGATTTTCCGCTCTATACTCTTGCTAGAAAAATCAAAAGAGAGACGACATTATTACATCTAATTATTAAAGCATTGTGGCAAATCATATAAAATGGATAATTGTTGGTATAAGTTAAAGAACACGTATTCATTCTGAACATGGAAAAACCCGGGATAATATACCTAAATGGGAGCTACTAAAGTCGCAGATATTTTTTATTTCCATACTTTCTTAGGAAAAAAGTCATTAGAATCAGACTGGTAAAGGGTTAAGTTTTGAAAAGAAAAGGGCGCTTAGGAAGCTAACAGACTCATATAAACATATTGGAAGTGCAAGCACTCATAAAAACTATTCGATAGTCGATAAATTAACTAATCAGGGGTGCAAACATTTTTCGACCTTCCGACCGGTCGTGTGTGAAAATGGGAAGGCCCCGAGAACTGTGTTTTATATTGGGAAAGCCGGCAACATCGCATATTTTTGTAAAAATTGTGTCAGGATTTTTCGTAAAATCATGGTAAAAACAAGTGTTTTTTGCATAATCGCGGCAATATATACGTGCAGGGCCATAAAAGAAGTCATCTCTTGGACTTTTTTGAGGGAAAAGGGGTTTTTAAAATGAGATGACCAATTTGAAAAATGGAGAGGCAAAGAACCTTCTGAGTCCCCGGAACTAATAATTTCTAAACAAGTAGTTTTCAAATGTCAATGAAAACGAAAACATTCTGAATCACGTCCGATAGTCATAAACATGTCAGGCATTTGTTTGAAGTAACTAAAAAAGGACGGTTTGAATGAATATTGTAACTCGTTTTATCTCCAAGGTCGTCGTTATCTTGGTTATTCGTTCAGAATCACCTCAAACAATTCAATGAATATTTCTACAAATCACTCTATGCAACAAAATTAATTGACTTTCGACTTAAATTATTCAAAATTGGAATTTTGGAGAAAAAATTCTCAAATTTTAAATTCTCAGGATATTGATGTTTTGGAGGATCACTGTGAAGTGCAGTGAGATTCTACCTTCATAACTAATATGAAGCTTACCACAGTTTGATTAACCACAACAGCCGTTTTATTGACTGCAAAACGATCTTGCAAGTGACTGACATCAACAACAGCATTGGGGTAGTAAGAAACCGTCGCACGCACAACAGATCTAAAACATAATAGCATCCGGCTTAGAGGTACAATCTATCAAATTGATGAATGTATAATATTTACATTTTTTTATATTCGTCCCCACAAGAAGTCTCCTTATACGCAGTGTGAAAAAAGGGGTGCTGAATTCAAGTTAATGAACTTCTTGGTTGAGCTATACTAGTCTTATAACAAGGTAGATGTACATTTTTTATTGTATTGCATTTTTTGCATTTTTTTTTTTTTTTTATTGCCTTACTTAACCCTTATGTGCCCAAGACGAGTCAAATTGATAAGATTTTCTTCTTTAGAAGAATTATGGGGCGGTGGGGCCAGTATACACGAATTTTAAGTATACGTCAACGATAACATCCCAAAAAAATAATTAGCACAGTTATCTCTCTATAACGAGAACTCAAGGGGCTGGCCGAATTCCTCGGTGTAGAGAGGTTCTCGCTATAATAATTGCCGATCAGGAAAAGACGGGCAAACTCATACATCACTGACTCAATAGACTATGAAACCATTCAGGGTTGCAAAATATCTAGATCCCTCAATTCTAGGGTTGCGGGCTCGCGGTGTGCACCGGTCGTAAATGGTGTCTACCGCGCTACCGAGGAAAACTTAATGTAGTAACAAGTTTAAAAACTCTGGCTCCGCTAGTTGGATCAATCGCGCCAAACACAGTGTGGTTGACCCGGAACGCATAGCGCCTACAAGACTGTGGGAATACTTCACGCATTGCACGTTCTGGAGGCACCGAGGAACTACGAATATTCGACGAGTAAAGTGCGCAGCGCGCACCGACCCGCGCTCCGCACCGTCGTGAACGCGCAATGCGTGAAGTATTCCAACAGTCTTGTAGGCGCTCATATGCGTTCCGGGCCAACCACGCTGTGTTTGGCGTGATTGATCTAACTCGCGGAGTCAGAGGTTTTGAACTTGTTACCACATTACGTTTTTCCGCGCTCCGTACGGATTACTGCCATTTAAAATGATAAAAGAAAAATTACTAAAGATAAGTACATTTCCCCTATTTTCCTCGTATAATGGAAGCTGGCTGATCGTGAGAAAATTAGAAATGGATCCTGCAGCTTTCGTAGAGTCCATGCCAAAAAAGTTTTTGTGCTTTTAAACTGCGACAGAGGATCCGTCATCTTGATTCTCGCATTTACTTTTCATACTAAAATGACGTCAAAAGATCTTCTGTCGCAGTATTAAAGTCAGAGCCGGATCCAGCAATTTAGAAACGCCGGATTCCTTCATTTAGACCTTTGCTAAATAATCGATTCTTGTCGGAGCACCTGGCCCCTCCAAGAAGCGATACATTTCCATAGGTTCAAAGGGAGAAAAGACAATATTGCCAATTTTCTGAATCCGCCATTGATATAAGTGCGTAAACTTATTTGGAGTGGACTCTATTTTCCCCTTAAAAGTAGGTATCCTTTTCTGCGGAGCGATTATTGAAACTGATGGACAAAGCGATAGACAAAGAAGACATAGGGAGGATGGAACGATCTTATTGGTTGACATAGTTGGTTCTCATAGACTAAGGAAGAAAATGATTGACTACTGTCGGGTCTGTAGTCGGCTGCCGTTAGTTGGTCCATTACCTACCTCCTATGTCCATTGCCACCACCTGCTTCCACCAATAGGATCCCTCCAAATCCCTTTTGTCGTCTTTGTCTATAGCTTTCTCTATAAGTTTCAATAATCGGCCCGCTGGCGCATATTTTTTTGTCTTATCTGGCTCGGTGGCTCCTTCAATTGAAATTCATACTTGTCTGCGTTAGGCGGAGGAACGTTCTGGGGCAAACTGTTGACGCGATTTCCAGGGGGGTTGTAGTAGGGCTGCATGTTATGTATGGAGACTCGAGCCCCTGTCAGTTCAGCGAGGAACTCTTCCGTGGCTCGCCAATCAAGGCTAATCCCGGGCAAGATGAACGACATAGTTCTAGCCCCAGAGTCCGCCGGGTAAACTCTGATCTGAGATGTCGATGACCTGTGAGGCACGCCTGAAATAAACAACCCGTCGTACAGGGTGAGTAAAGTAATACAAATCGACGGTGAAACTACCAAACCACGTATCTCGTTTGCGGTGTTTAAAAATCTACGCTCGCATTTTATTTTTTAGAAGTAGACCAAATCAATATCATTCCATGAAATTTTCACAGAATTTTCTCCGCACGAAGAGGAAAAATCACAGAAATTTCCAGACTGGACGTTACGTAGTTTTCCGTTTAAAAAATAAAGTATGACAGGAAGTCTGCGACGTCGCAAACCGAGATACGTGGTTTGGTAGTTTCACCGTCGAAATGGGAAGTTGAACGCAAAAAGCATTGCCGGATCCAGCAAATTGGCAACATTGGTTTTCCTCCATTTAAACGTATTGAAATGTATCGATTCTCACAGGGGCCAGGTGCTTCGACAAGAATCGATTATTTAACATAGGTTTAAATGGAGGGAATTCAGTGTTGCCTAAGCGCTGGATCCGCTTCTGACAAAAAGTATCACACTTTTTCGCTTAATTACTTACTTTTGCTGTCGGTTCAATCCGTAGTAACTACGACATTATTTTCAAAATATTCGAGTGAGTTTCGTTTTTTATGAGAAAACCAGCTGAAATGTCAGGATGAAATTTTCTAAATATTTTTTAGTACGTGAAAAAAAATTCAGAAAAAAGTTTGAAGAAAAATGTTGGTTATTTAACCTTTAAAAATAAAATATGAGCGGCAATTTACAACGTCGCGATCAATGATACTCACCGTTCGACTTAAGGTGATTCGATGGTCGCTATATTTTGTGTCAAAACGACTTGCAATTTATCGCATCGATTGGTTCCATTTTTCCAGCTGCTCGTCATTTTTCTCGAATTTTGAGATCGCAATTCTGTTGTCAGGAGACTAAAGAATTCACTTACCAATTTTGACAAATAAATTCAACGAATATAGGCGTGGTTTTTTTAGAGAGAAAATATCGTATTCGAGTGCAGTTGCGGTATCAGTATCGAATGCGATGTTTGTCCTCTAGAAAAACCGCGCCTGTATTACGTTGAATTTGTTCGTCAAAATTGGTACCTAAGTGAATTCTTTAGTCTTCTGACAACAGAATTGCGATCTCAAAATTCGAGAAAAATGACGAGTAGCTGAAAAAATGGAGCCAATCGATGCGATACATCGCAAGTCGTTTTGACACAAAATATGGCGTCCATCGAATCACCTTAAGCCATCAATAATTATTCCCTTTTACAAGATAGCGCGGATGAAGTATTTCGGTGATATTTTTGTGAATTTGAGAAAAACCGTTTAAGATTATAAAATGACTCTGCTCGTCTACCATTGCTCAGGGTAATGGAACGGGAAACATGGGCAAGGAAACATTCCAATTTTCCCTGTTCCCTTTTGATAAACAAAGGTTTGTTTGTTCCAAACAAGGTGATAACTCTATTGCAGTCGTCATGTATGCTTACCTAAATCATAAGCTCGCACGGTGAGAACCTGGACAGTCGGTTTTACAGGGTTCGCTTGTCGTTTTAGTCGTCTTCTGAGTCTGGATAAATCGTTTGACGGATTACGGACGGTCAGTTCACCTGCAAAAATATATATTCCATGAATTTGATTTCTCTGGAAATAAAGGATGGAAGATTAACGACCGAATAAGATAGGTTGCCTTGCGCACGAAGAGGTAAGAACTTTTTTGTTGATTAATTTTTGAATATAAAAGAATTTATCATTGGCCCGAAAGGAATGGTCCTTTGACTGAATGACTGAATTGATTATGAATTTTGTTTACTTTTTTTTTTTTTTTTTTTTTTTTTTTTTTTTTTTTTTTTTTTTTTAAATGATTGATTAATTTTTGAAGCTGAAGGACTTTATTGTTGACCCAAAATGAATGGTCCTTCGACTGAATTATTGAAATAATTATACATTTTGTTTAAATGATTTTTTTTTAAAGAAATGCACATGTGAGGACAGATTTCCGATATCCATAGACTTCATTTTGAATTGAGGGGGCATAATCTGAGGGAGAAAACTCACCTGTGTCCGGATCCAACGCAAACTTATTTTCGTAATTTCCACTGATTATCTCATACTTCACGACGTTGTTAGGTGATTCTGCGTCCTTGTCGATTGCCTGTAAAATCAAGCATTTAAGAGATCATGCAATTTTGATGACTTAAGCTGAGAGAGGCGTATTCTGACAGGAATAAAGAAAAATGATAATTTACCGTAAACTTTAGGTAAAGCAAAGTATATGGGGATGGTGCGATAGGTATTACACTGTTTACAATTAATCCTCAACGTCGTAAACCTTTATCATCATTTTTCACATTTCCTTCGGGAAAATGTCAAGGAAAATCCGGTTTCTAGATTCCATCAATTCGTTTTCAATCTCGGATAAAATTTTTGGATTTGTCGAAGAATAAAGCGAACCAAAAATTGAAATTTTGGGTTCAAAGCTTCGTTCAATCAACAACAGATTAACTTTCACTGAAATTACCCGGCCAGTCCATGACTAAGAGGCTGTCAAAAAATTATGTAACGTTCTAGGGGGTTGGTGGGTCTTAATCCTTATGTGACTGTGCGTGACAAGAGGTGAAGATATCAAGTACAGAGTCATTTAAAAGTATGAATAGTAGATTTCCGATTTATTTCTTTTCTTTCTAAGTTTCATATGCTGTTTGTTTTATCTCATTCTTTCTTGTCTCTTGAAATGCAGATCCTACTAATTAACAGAAGTTAAGCCCTCCCCTCTTCTTCAGTGAGAAAATTCTTTCTCGTTTTTTTAAAGGAAAATGGAGGGGAGGTCGGGCCAAATATTACGTCATTTTTTTAAGGATGTCCGGACCAGCGCAGCGTTACGATCGCATTACAAGGGGTGGCGGGTGGGTGTCAAAACATCAGAGAAATCGCATTACGTAATTTATGGATGAATTTATTTATCTATTCAGAGAGAATCTTGCAAAACAGCTGACAATGCACTCACCTTAACAAAAGCTCTCTCAGAAAAATTTTGCAGATCTGGTGTTAGTATAAACTGAGTGGGATTCTTTTCGAAAGTAGGCGTTTCATCGTTGATATCAATTACTCGAAGGATGAAAGGCACTGTCGTTCGTAGACCAACTCCCTCCATGTCACGCGCTTCGATGAAAAAATGAAACTCTGGAGTGATATAAACAAAGGTTTCTTAAAGTCAACTTCGTGAAATCAAAAGAAATATTCCCTAATTTTAATAATGCAGAAAACGTCGCGATGTTGTTTCAACTTCCAACCTTTAGCCGAGCCATCAGAAATTTCAAAATCAAAGTATTGGTAAAGCTCGCTTTGAAATCAAAGGATTCATCATGAATACATATTGAGTGACATACCTATGAATTAAAAAAAAAAGATGGGCTCGAAGTTGAACGATAACACGAAGTCAAAAGAGATTTAAGCATGGTGTGTTATACATGCAAATTTAAAAATCTAAATCTCCCAATCACCATGATGTCATTTAACGTCTTCTTGAATTTTGACTCTTCAGTAATAATAGCGGCAAAGTTGAAATTTTTCCAAATCATTCTCTGGATGTTACTGATTGTGCTTGATGAAAGTTCATATTGCATAGAAAAAAATTGGACGATCTGGCTCAATCATCATCCTCTATTGCGCAAGTCGCAGTTAGTCTGCGAATTGCAAAGTGCCCATCTTTTTTATGCGTGGAATTCTTGTTGTTGATCGTATAAACCCGCTAAAATTGATGTGAAAATATTGCAATTTTATGGTAAATAAAATCGCACAATTATTGAATAAAACAGCAATTTTTACACAAATATTTTCTCTACTTAACTCTACTTGGGTTCATTTTTTTACTCTAAGTCGATTTATACAAGACGGACTAATTTTGGTCACGGCTTATGGGCACATTGGGTTAAATCCCCTAAAACCACCAATATCACAATAGATAATAATTTAATAGAAAGGTAAGCACCTGGCGCCTCCTCTCTGTCGAACCCGTGATTGTCGGACGATATTTTGACTTCTCCGGTCAGACGATCGAGAATGAGAGACGTGTTTTTGTAGCCCAGAATCCCTGTGTAACGAACACTTCCGAAAGCCCCTGAAACACGGAATAAAACGATAAGTCGCAGGAATTTACTGTGGTGCAATGGCAATTTATTATGCTGGCACTTCTGTCATTTACTAATCTCTCGCAATAAGCCTGTGTCACACTATCAAAATACTCCATCAAAATGTAAAGGTCAAGAGCTGCGATTGGTCCAAGTCATCGAATAAGCCAATCACAACACCTGACTTTGATATTTTGATGGCTAGTTTTGATCGTGTGACACAGGTTATGTTCAAGTAATGTGACTCATCACGGGACCTCAGATTACAATGATTCCACTTTCAGTTATTGAAACCAGAGCATAAAGAAATATTCTAGGATAATTTGTGAGGAAAACGCCCAAGAGTGTCGTACCGGGCCGGAGTTATGCCGATTTAAATATTGCAGTTCTGAACTACATTTTGAAAAGAAGTTGGACGTATTTCTGTTAAACAGAACTAAGCGCCACTTTGAGTTCCTTTGGAGGATTTCAGAATCCCGGATAGCGCATTCTGTCAAACGGAGCTAAGCGCAATGAAAAAGCACTGCGAGTATAGGACGCAACAAGCATCGCGTTCCGCAACAACCGCCAATCCAAGCCCCCCCCCTCACCCTTCCTTCCCCTATGGCGCTTACTTCCGTTTGACAGAAATACGTCCAGTTACTATAATCTATCGCACGTTCAAAACTCAAAATTGCCGCACAGTGGGACAAACAGGGTAAAACTTCGGACATGGGGGTGTTCTCTTGTTTTGGATAAAAATAGGATCTTACCTAGAAAGGTCAATTACATCAAGCAGAAACCCGCTTTCTTTCTGCTATTTTACTCTTGATTCAAAATAAAATCTTCTTGACGGCATGCTTAAGAATGTTTCTGCCTAAATCGAGTCACTTTTTTCACTAATGAAATTCAAAAATCATGCTAAACATTATTAAATACGGATGCTAGGACTTAGTGAGCTTTTGGACTACCACTCTCTATTTGTGCCGTAGTAGCTATTGATTTATTTTGCGAGGAACGCTCCGTATTCTTAAGGGATGCCTGTCACTCTTAATATGTTGAAGCGCCTACAATTTAGTCTGTGCAACACCTCTGTTGTGAAAAAAGTTGCTTGAGGCGGCCAGCCAACGCGAACCGTGCATTGGCGCCTACAAACCTAAGGGCATACTTCAAGCATTGCGCAATGCGTGAAGTATCTCTGTTAGGTTTGAAGGCGCCAATGCGCGTTTCGTGCCGGCAGCGCGCCGGCGTGCCGTCGGGATATAATGCACCTTTACACGTTCAGTTCGTTGCTACTCTGCCGTAAGAGTGTATCTCAATCTCTACTTGAGCCCAGTTCTTCGTATAACTCTGTGCTTTCAGAGGCTCATGTGGAGATGAAGATATGCCCTTACGTCAGAGGAGCGACAAAATGGCACAAAAATGAACGAAATCGCTCGCAGTTCATTTTTTCACCAAGTAGAGAGTTTTGGTCGTCGAAAACTGAACATCCGATTTTCCACCTAAGTCGACAAAAATCGTTTCACTGAAAATGTTGCCTGAATTACACGAGGTCCTTTACTGTTATTGCTTTAGCCATTGACTTACCCTCATCTTTATCCGTGGCGTTAACTTGAAGAACTTTAGTGTTGGCAGTTATGTTCTCTGGAATTTGAGCTTCGTAGCGCGAGCTGAGGAACTGCGGTGGGTTGTCGTTGACATCGTTCAAGTATACGAGTACTGATGCATTACTCGAGAACGGCTTCGTTTCAGAGCCGAGCTCTTTGGCCACTATCTTGCAACAAACGCAAACCAGTTTAACCATTAACTCGCATTCAAGAGAATGTCTGTGTGATTGCTGTGATATAAACCTCGACTTCAGGAGTTATTTAATGAAAGTAATAGTACCGACATTTTTGGCTCAGAAACTGAAATTCCGGACAGTTTACCGAAATAAGATTACCTGAACCGAGAAGGTTTTTTTTTTTTTTTTTTTTTTTTTTTTTTTTTTTAATAATAGTACCGACTTGAAGATACACTGTAGTGCAAACTTACAAAAAGGCTAGATAACAGATAATGAAATTCGGTTCATAGCGGACTCCACACTTTGCCGCACCGAAAATTGTTGGCACAAAAACTGAAATTCCGTACAGTTCACCGAAATGCGATTAACTGAACCGAAAAAGTTCCAAGTTCAATATGGACCGAAATTTAGCGTCGGTTAAACTTTTCTCTGTGTTTCTCAGACTTTCATTCACCTCCGTCCTCTATTACTCAGGTAAACGCAAAGGGAGTTGACCGCCCCCCTCCCAATACGGTACATCTGATAATAGGAATTACGTTTTTAGTAAAAAAAAAAAAGATAAATAAATAAAGTGATCAATTCTGCTTTGGATTCCTCTCATCGAGCGTCATAAATCACGACCGTAGCTCCTGATGTCACAATAAAGATGGCAACCTAAGTGACGTCCAAGATACCCTGTATTCCTTTAGATGGTTCTCTTACTTAACCCCTTCAAAGACCCCCATGCTGATCCCTATATCTCTTTTTTAAAATCCAGGCATCAAGATGTACTTTGGTGAAAAAATGTATTGATGCTTTCTTAGAAACTACAAAAAATTCATATCTGCATAAATATACTAGGGAAAACATATATTTCACGATTTTTTGAATTGGGTGAGAAAAAATGGCAGTCTCTTTCTAAATGGCTTTGTACTGTTTGCTCTTTTCTTCTGCTCTTTGCGGAAGAATGAGGTATTCAGAGCTAAGGGATCCTAAAAAACTTTTTTCTTTTTTTTTTACCATAAATTGGATGGAGCGGCGTTGTTCGTAGTCCAAGAGGGCGCTGTTGCGGACTCGAATCATAAAGTTCGCGTGTCGCTCCGCCACGCCTGGCGTTATCTCGAATGTTCCGTTCTGGCCCTCCAAAGATAAAGAAAACACCCCCTGCTTGCCCTGGAACATGAAACAAGTGACTAACAATAAGTAGATAATTAGATCAGAACTTTCTACGGTTTTATGTCTAGTCAGGAAAAAAGTTTGACCTGTGATTCTGTCTGAAGATAAACACACTGAACTATGAGACAGAGCCAGAATAAAAGCGCTGAATTACTTGTTGCCTCATCAAGTTTATCCCAACTCAAATTAGCGGGCATTGTCCTAGATCATTTTTCCGAATAAACATTGACGGATCCAGCAATTCGGCAACAACGGATTTCCTTCATTTAAACCTATGAAAATGTATCGATTCTTGGAGGGGCCAGGTGCTTCGACAAGAATCGATTATTTATCATAGATTTCAATGGAGGAAATCCGGTGTTGCCAAATCGCTGGATCTGCTTATGCGAATAAATCCCACGGACGAAGTTTATCTCTGAATTCCAAAGAGTTCATGAACTAATAGACAAGGTGCGAACTTAAGCATCATGATATAGTTATTCTCGTAAAGCACGATTTTTTACCGAAAATTACAACAAGTAACTCCTCACAATAGTATTAATGTTTTTTATGCATAAATTGAAACTTACCGCTCACCCAAAAAAAAAAAAAGTGAAAAGGAGAAAAAAATCTACTTAAGAGTTGCATCGCACACTAAACGTTACCAAAACAGTCTTGGTGGCATGAAAATATGACAACCTCAATATCAGCGGTTTGGCTCTGCTATCGCACACTGTTTACACTTTAAAGAACACATATTGGAGAAGAGGCACTGCTCCATTAAGAAACCTGTCAAAATAACCGTTGTATTGCGCGGTTTTATTCAAGTAGCTCTTGTTTCTCACGTGAGCGGAGGAAAAACATCGTTGTGACCAACAGTAATTAATAATATCTTGGTTCTGAGTTAATTTTAGTACTTTTCCTTGCGCAAGTCGTGTTCTAAGTGAAAATTTAATGGGGAATCATACATCAGAATACTTAAATTCGTACCTTGTCGAGTAGTCTCATGCGCTTTCAACCGGTTCCGGTGCGTGAGTGGCTTTATGCACCTACTGTATTAAAAGCTTTCTTGTGAACAGATTTTTTCAAACCAACATTATGGGAGCAGCCTATCACCGAATTTCTGCTAACAATTTTGTGACACGCAAACTAGCACTTCAAATGGTAGATTGGTCTACGGATGACTCGAAATATTTGAAGGCGCTAGGATACAACTATTCGTACTTGAAGGATGTCTGAGATGCATAACGCTAAATTGAAGGCGCACAAGACTTCTTAGCACTCAAACTGATCAGCATCGCACTGTTTAAGTTTCTAACAGGTTTTTCAGTGTTGCTGACCACTTCCTAAGTTACTTTGCAATAATTTAGGTACTTCTTGCGAATAGAAAGATAAATTATATTGACTATTTTCAATATTTATAATACCCATTGAATTTGGGTAGTTCATAACTTCAGAGGTTATCGGTGAGCCACTCGTGCTTTACATGAAATTTTGACGAGGTGAGGTGCATTTCATTTTAGAAGTTTATGATCTGTTTTGATCCATTATTTAAAGCAAAAATATGTTCAAAATCTACATTTAGCGCAGCGGTGCTTCTGATAGAGATGTTCAAAACCACGTCACATACGTTTAGGAAAAACATGTGTTAAATCTATAGTAAATCTCTCAAATAAATATTACTGTTTTCACAAAAGGCTCTAGAATAATGAAAAAAAATTAAAAAATCCTGAGCGATTTTTCCTTTGTCTAGACGATTTCCGGGGTTATTTACATCAGAGATGATAGAGCCCAAAATATAAATTCACGGTAAATTCGTAAAGACAGAGCGCTTCCGCAGTGATTGATTATCAATTATACTTCAACTTACCATATCATCATCATGAACTTGTGTTGAATACGCTTCGCTGAAAACGAGAGCTGTCCCTTGCAAACTATTTTCATCGAGACGACAAACGTAACTGGAAACAGTAATACAAATATGATATGGGAGATGAATAAAACCTATAAATTCCCCAAATTTAAAAAGAACCGTCGGATGTATATTGAGACAAGACTTTAAGCTCGAATTTTTTTTGAATTTTTTATATACAAATATCCTTAATAAGTTTAAGGTCCTAATTTCACAAAACCTGCAGTATATTATAGTGGGTTCGCTATTTTTCTTCATTCTTTAAATATAAAATAATACTGGACGAATATTCTTTCTGAAGAAATTTAAATCAAAGTTTGGACGTAAAGTTTACCTAGGATTATCGAAATAAGGAGGAGTGTTTCCAGCTTCTCCCAGGAGTAACGCTATGGTCATGATAGAGGAAAGTGGAGGTGGTTCTTTGGGATTTGTAGCTTCCTCCTCGGCGATAATGTTCAATAAAATCGGTTGGTGTGAGCGGGCAATTACACTCAGTTCCTTCAACGGCCTTGCTAGAAAAATATCTCCTGAAAATTTTCCAAAAGACATCATCACAAAGGCGTTAAGTGTCGTCAAAACCATAGTTTACTATTATTCCAATTACAATAATTTTAGAGAAAGATTTTCTTGAATATGAGAAAAATATTGAAACTTTGCGTGAAAAATGAAAGAAGTATAGAGAATACTTTGAAAAAGGTCTAACAAATGTGTCATCCGATGAAGAAATTCAATTTCATTCAATGAAGGTTTAATTTTTTTTTATTTATTTTTTTAAATTTTTTTTTTACAAAATGGAATGCTCATTCGGGAGAAAAAAGGATCTATTATTTACTTTTGCCTAAAACAAAATTTGCAATGTTACCTGTTTTTCTATCGATGTTAAAAAATACGGTGAACGGACTACCCTCGGAAACTAAACCGTATTTGATAGGTCTTGGTGTGCCTCTGTCTCCATCAATAGCAGTGACTCGGGTTACAAAATCGCCCTGTAATTAAATCCGCAAAGAATAAAAAAGAAATAAAACATGAAGAAAAATGAAATGATGGACAAAAATATTATCCGAGCAATGCATAAAACGAGTGCTTGTAGAGCACGTTATTCCATGATGTACAAGCATTAACAACATATTTCTAGAGGCTGCAAACTTCAAAATATTTTTAGAAGATTCGTGAGAAGGAACAGTTTGAAAATGGAAAGTTTTATTATGAATAATTGAATTAAAACGCAAACTAAGTGCAATACGTACTGTAGTGTTCCGTAAAAGTTAATATACAAACGTCACCCTACCCAGTTGACACTGCCATCAATGAAAAACCAAAATAATCTTCGACGACATGGGAAATATGGATTGCATTTTCAATAGGGAGCCACTATCTCTGGCTCCCACATAAAAGAACCTTTCTGCATAGAGAAATCAGTGGCATATATCGACGGTGTAAGTTGGCAATCACATAACTAGGTTTGCGACGTCGCAGACTTCCTGTCATACTTTATTTTTTAAACGGGAAACTACTCAACGGCAACTCTTTGAAACCGCCGTAATTTTTCTTCTCGGTGCGAAGAAAATCCTGCAAAAACTTCGAGGAATGATGTCAATTTGTTCTCCTTTAAAAAAGTAACAGAGCGGCGGAGATTTTTAGACACCGCAAACGAGTTATGTGATTGCCGACTTACACCGTCGATATGTTGTTTCTAAAATGAGCCAGGAATAGTGGTTCCTTATTGCAAAATTTGGTCCATTTTCAAAACAGAAAATGTCCGACGTCATTCGAATTTTCTGAAGGAGGTCTTGAATGGACCGCGTTTAACAGAAAGGAACCAAGCCACATCATCTATTGCTAAATTTGATTCGGCAATTTGATTTTATACATGAAAACGGTTGTGCGGATTGTTGTGTAAATTTCAGTGAAAATTCTCCAGGGTGAGAAGCAAATTCCTTAAAATTCTCAAAAGAATCTCCACAATAACGTTCTCACATAAAAAATTAAATTGCCCAGTTAAATTTGGCAATAATTTGGTTCCTTTCTGTTAAACGCGGTCCAAATTATCAACACTATTGCATGAGCAATTACGAGAATTCGCTAGTATCAGCAGTCACAGAGCAGGATCTACCGTTGGTTACCGACTCTCGTAAATGCCTTCAAAAGGAAGGTTATGCAACCGAGCATCGCATCCAAGTTAAAATAGTTATCTCACAAGATTGTGTAAAAAGTGCTGCGTACTGTGCCCAGGGGAACGCACTCACGACTTCACGAGGAGCCTTCATGATGGTGCCTTTTGTATCTCCATTAATTTATTGAGTTGTTTTTACATATTTTTAAATTTGAACTTTGTTTACCTCCTTCAAAGAGCTCCTCAACTTCGTCACGGGATTTTGATGTTGTTGGAAAATCGGAGGAGTATCTTGTACATCTTGAACGACGATCACCAGCTCGAAACCAGCAATATTTCGTGAGTCTCGTCCCACCTCCACCGCCATATCCTGGAAAAGTGCTCGAGTATTTTAAAGGTTTGTCAGAATTTTCGAAAAACAAAACGGAATTGCCTACCTTATCTAAGCTATTTCTTCAGGAATAGGTTTCGTGAGTCTGAAAAAACAGAACCAACGGTTGATTTTTTTTTCTTTTCTGTATAATTTTTTTCACTCATTCAAACATAATTATTAATTCGAAACACGCACACTTGTCTAAAGTTGGCTGCAAGTGCTTGACACAAAGCCATTAAATAACAGAAAAAAGAGGGGAAAAAAACATAATTGATCTTTATAAATTTTAAGATGGTATCGGTAATTTTTTTTAAAGAGAAGAGACCATTATTGTGGATTTTGGAAAGTAACAAATCGCTGCGCATCGCTGTAATGTTTTTGTCATTTAAAGTTGATTCTCTAAAATTCGATGCAAAACTCTCTCCAAATTTCGGTTAGTTTATTTTGGCAATAAATTTGGGCGTCAGTCAATACCACAATCGAGATTTTAAGTGATGTTTTTCCACCTTTTTTTTTTCTTTAGACGTCATTATCACAACAAGTAATACGTTATTTTGAAAATCGGAATTGAAATGATGAAATCGTAAAAATAAAGCAGTCTATCCGATAGTGATTAAGATGTCGCATAATGTTGCACATATTTACCGTTGCAAATACCCAAAGCTTGTACATTGTTCGTCTTTCAAAGTCTAGAGGTTGTGACAGGAGAATAATGCCTGTTGTCGTGTCTTTTGATGGTTGAGACTGCCGAAAGGAGAACTCTGTTGTGCCCTGAAATAAAAAAAATTCTCATTGTCATTACATGCAATGAAACTTTCATTTTTACTCACCTTATCATTAAGTTTATAATTATCACTAATCCATTTGAAAAATTACAAGAAGAAAACGATACGCCAAAAGGATTAAACATTTCGCGGAAACCCGAGGCACCTGAGTACGCTAAGCTCTTACAGAGGAGCCTGTGTACACGGCATATTGCTAATTTTGTATACTTATTTTTCCCTCGGTGATAGCTGACAATGGACTTACCATGAAAATATTTTTGCAAATTAAAGAGAAGATTCGTGAATGTAATAAAATATAATAGTCCTCGCTGCATTAGCGTATGTTCTCTTTCATCATAATATCGGTACTTAAAACCCGGATATTCCCGTAATTATCACGACATAATAAATATTTCTCAGATTTTCCTTGGTGCGATGGAACAGGCCTCACGTCACACGTGTGAAGCCATCATAATCATTTCTACGGTTAAGCACTTCTCGTTCGGTTATGCAATATTTCGCTTCATAGGCGGCCGGCTAGAGAATGATTTACAACTGAAGATGTTGCTCATGATATTACTTGATTAGCCCGACACAAAAAGCAATAGTATCTGATTACATTTACTAAAGGATGAGTTTTCATCACCATAGATAAGAACTTAACTTACCCATAGCTCCAACATAGCAGGTTTCTTCGATTCCAAGTTTTTTCGAACAACCACGTACTCTAGTTCAGTCCCAACTTTTGTGTTCTGTGAATAAAAATTCAGGAATTATAAAAGGGGAAAGGTGAAATTGATGAGAGAAATAATATAATTAAAAAGTACTATGATTAGGATTATGGGATTTAAATGTTAGTACACTGAAAAGGTAAAAAAAAACGAGCACGATAAAAGATGGTAATGAGAGGCTCCCTAGTATTATGTCACACCTAGTATAGATATAATACGCAGACAGATACCTGCGTAAAGCTGTTTCGTGGTTTAACACATAGCAGCTACATACAGGGTTATTCAAAAGTCACGCACCACTGGCCAATAGGGGAAGGGGGGGGCATTTGAAATTTTTTAGTCACCCTCCACCCCCCTCCCCCCGAGGGGATCAAAAGCTGGAAAGTACCTAAAAAAGTTTCCCCCATGATATGAGGAAAAGCGTCTTAAACGGCAAATCGATATCATAATTAGAACTAAAGTTGTGGCCGGTGGTGCGTGACTTTTGAATAACCCTGTATATACGTAGACCATATTTTACAGACTAAAAGGTACGTGTATAAAGTACATTTAGGCAAGTACAAGTACAAGTTAGGTAAGTACATTCACTAAGAAAACCCCGAAAATAATTCATAAAAAAAGTCGTTCGCAAAACAATTTTCTACTGTGAATGTTTGGAGTCAAATTGCCTATTTGCGTTGCGAAAACAGTTTGCTAAAATAAGGGTTTTAGGTGAGTGGCAGTCATAAAAAAGGCGCGGTTGTTTAGTATTTTAGTGGTTTAGTATTGAGTGTCTAGCAAATAAGCAACACATCAGATTCAATCATTCATTTGGAAGGAAAATGGGGAGTCCGTTTGAAAGGGCCGTAAAGCCATTGAAATGTTCGCGGCATCCATAATGAAGCTGTTGCTTTTCATGAAGTCTATCAATAATCCTCGACATTTGTCAAGGCTTTAAACGACTGGCTGGGTTGTCAAGTTGATTCATGAAACTTCAATATTTTACTATGTAGTCAATGTCGACTCAAATACACCGGGACTTTAGTTTTTTTACTTACGTGCTGCTTTTTGAAATTTGTTATGTGTTCATCACGTTCCACGTGACACTCCGATGAAAATAACGTCTGATTGAGTGTTCGCATGCAAATTTTATCTTAGGTTCATTTTTGGACGCTGGCAGATGAGAAACAATGGAAAATGGTACACAGAAAGTTCAGGTGAATCTCTATGAGAGGTGAACAGACATCAAAATATTGAACAAATTTTTTTGATAGACTGTTTTCGCTTTTCATTGGGGAAAAAAATAAAAACTAATATTAGAGACCGCTTAATTTTGCTAACTTCTACTGAAATATGTATTTTAAAACCTCCAAATTAAAAGTAAAGTATCAGCAAATAGAATATCGCATCCGATCCAGAGAAAATGTGATAAATGTTTGCAATCTGCCCCGAAGTTCCTTGATTTTACCGGAGTTTTTCTTCTCTTTTAACGCGGATGGGGTGGGCATGTACGGTAGAATTTGAATACAATTTATGCACCTTCTTATTTTCGGATATGCAGCAACTCAATCATCGTGCAGAAATGCTCACATTAAGACGCTGCCGTCAACATGGCCAAGATACCATGTTGAGAATGAAAAAATATGTTCGATAAATCATCCAAGTCAGTAGGTTTGATCAATGAAACTTGAGAGATAATTTTTGAAAATAACGCTGTATTGCCACATCATTTGTCGATCACTGCCGTCATGAGCTTTCGATCAACTATCAATAATCAGTTAACATCGACACAACTTTCCTGTCTTTTGTGATACCCTTCCGTGAAATTTACCATTTGAAATCCGCTTAAACTGAGACAACTTTTTAATCAGAGAGCGCTTTAAAAACCCAAATATCTTCAATGATCATAACGTAGAAAATCAGTATTCGAAAAAATTCTTTTGGTTTTCTGATAATACATGAGATACGACCATTGAAACACGAATCTGAGACGCACGAAACTGCCTCCTTTTCGGCAGGCAATTATCCTATACCTTCAAAACTGACTGAAAACAGATAAAAATTGATTGTGAAACCTGGAGAAAGCGTTGGCAGCTGTTTTATATCTAGCGTCGAGAGATCACTATCGACTGTAAAACAAACCAGGTGTTGCACGAGCTTTTCTCCCAGCCACAATAACTGCAATTTGACAAACATTGCTCTGCATTCAACGTACGATGCGGTCTGTTGCTTAAGGTACAGTTCACACGCTTATGCATGCATTTTTCTTTACGTATAGCAATGAATCAATAATGTGGCAGACACAAGAAGAAACCTCTCTTCATTTTGACATAGAATCGATAAAATTGTAGACAAGAGGGAGAGAAGCGTTCCTTACGAAAGAAAAGAATTTGAAAATAACGTCTTTATTCAGTTTTCCCTTTCAACTCTCTATTTCACTGGAAGAACCCGTTAGATGAGAACAGAGATATGCATTTCGGCTGTATTCGTTTGCGTTAAGCTCTCTTGTTTGCTAAGTTCGAGAACCTCGGAAAGAGATCCGCTTTCCACGCTTACATCACCGCAATTTTTAACGTATATTGAGGAGAAATCATACTTATTTTCTATTCTATTACCGATCCTGAACGCTTGGACTTTTTGCGATTTTACGGGACAGAACCTACCACACAGACGCACTACGCTTTTTATGGAACAGGCAAAAAAAGTTCAGAAATTTTGAAAAATTATCAACAAGTTAGTGAAACTGAAACTATCATATTTTGCACCTCATATATTATGTGCGTTGTGCGCGTTGTACTGTCCTAAGTTGTTGGCGTATTTTGAAAAGTTAGGGGTGATGAGGGACGCCTTTGTTACCTTGTGATATCGCATTATGTACCCTTAACTACCACCCAAACTACTACCTTAATTAGAGCTTTGATAACCGGCACTGTTATGGACGTCATAAGTTATGATGTTACCATATACATTTTCCGTCACATCGAAACTGATACAAACGATACCGATGCCACAAAAAAAAAAAATACAATACTGATGTATCCGTCGGAGGCAAGTAGCAGTTGGCGACAAATTCCATTCTTGCGTTGAATAAGAAGATGTAAAAATTCAGAGTTAACGAAACAAGATAGAGAGCACTGCTCATTGTGCTTGGAATTCAAACCGACTTCCTCTTCCTAAATCTTCTTCTTCCTCTGTTCCTCCTTCCTCTTCTTCTTGAATGCATGGTGCCAGCTAGCACCCTCGCGGGTGCATGTAGTGAGATAAGTGACCTTAGTTGGGTTTGGTTCGAGTAGGCAACTAAACTAACTGCCTAGCAAAGCGGAGCGTATCGCCGGGATTTGAAGGCGCTCCCTGCTCCGATCGTGCTTTTGAAGTTTTTACCAATGAAACTTTGTCGATGCGGATTGTTGCACTTGGACTAATTGGCACGCATGCCGCTTGCAAATTACCGCAATTTTTGACTGCCTACGACATACAGTAGAGTCTCGATTATCCGCGCCTTGGTTATCCGCGGTCCGTGGAGCGGACTTTTTTTACTTGTTCTATTTCTTTTGAAAGCGACCGGGACCGAACGGAGAAATTTGAGGTCATTCCTCTCCTCTTTGGAAAAACCATCTTTCTATTTGTATGCGCACTTGCAGGCCTCCATTTTTACCTGAGTGTTAAAAACGAAGGTAGAAATTGGTCGGAGCTCTTTCAGCTCTTGGGGAAACCTTCTCTCTTCAAGAAATAAAGTTTAATTTGTTAAACAGATAAAGGTAATTGATTCTTAGTTAATAATTATAATCTTTTCTAATGCGTGGTAAGTGTCTTTACTGATTTCTTTATAATGCAGTCTTCCCGATGACTTTTTCCGGCCGTCTTGCGTAGATTCGGATTATCCGCGATTTTCGATTATCCGCGGTATCTCCGCGGTCCCAATTATCGCGGATAATCGAGACTCTGCTGTATCAATAAATATTGAATTCCTGTATAACTTTGGCTTAATTTACTTGATAACAGATTGCAAACCTCAGGGACAACGATAAGGCCCGGGATGTGAGGGAAGATGGCGGTGACGTCAGTGCGGCCGTTGGTGGCGTGGATGGAGACGGGAAGGGTCGTCGTGAGTCCTTTCGTATCTTTCACCGTGAGCCGAAATTTGAAAACCTGTCCGGGCACTAACACTCTCTCCAGATAGACGTTCGCGTCGCAGTGCGTCACGTTCCGATCGCAAGGTAGGTTTTCAATCCGAATCACGTAACTTCCGTAATCTGGAGACATGAAAAAAAAAAATTATAATAATTCATTAAGGTTGTTTATACGAAATCAGTGCCTTGGAGAGGAGAGGAGGCCGTAAATGCTGCCGTGCTGAGGAAGAACGCCGTATGATCCTTCAAACGTTGCCAAGTTCCCTTCGATAAAAACCGAATTCACCGAGAAAATCGTTAATTTTTTCCCCAAAAATTTTCAGACGCTTGAAAAACGCAAACGCAAAATTTGCGTGAAACAGGGCTCAAGTGGAAATTGAGATACGCCCTTACCGGTGGCGTGGCGTGCTTTGCGATATATCGATTGGTCTACCGTTTAGACTTATGGAAAAGGATCGATAAACAGGGCGTTAGCAACGAACACCTTAATAATCGATTCTTTATCATAACCTCAAAAGGGAAAATATCGAAAATCGACCATTCACGCCTCGCCACTGGCCCTTACGTCCGAGGGGGCTCAGGACGTTGCATCCACCTGCGATGCATCCACCCAGCTATTAGGTTAGGTTAGGTTAGATTAGGTTAGATTAGGTTAGATTAGGTTAGATTAGGTTAGATTAGGTTAGATTAGGTTAGGTTAAGGTTAGGTTAGGTTAGGAAGTTAGATAAGGGTGAATGCATCGCAGGTGGATGCAATGTCACGCACTCCGTCCGAGGTACGACGATATTGCTGTGGTTGTTTTCTCCTCATATGGAACATTGGAACGTGATGAAGATGGGAAGGTGGCGGTGGTGTACCTGTTGCGTCGAAGGTGAGGGGGTGGTCCCGATCGGCGTCGGTCGCGCGGAGTCGGTAGATGATGGAGCCGACGGGTAGATCGGCCGGGACGAGGAGGTTCTTCATCTGGGTCGTCGCGTCGAACACCGGGTAGTTTCCTGCCACCGAGCCCACCAGGAAAGCGAACAGCCACATCCCTCTCCTATGCCTGAAACCCAAAGTAAAAGCACAGATGAATCAGTTGGAATGAAAGCACACTGCAGGTGTCTCACGGGTAAAGCCCTGGATAGACGATCAAATTCCCGAACCAATTCCGATCAAGGTAGCATCAAAGTGTCGGGAGTCATCGGTCTTAAACTCATTAATTTGCTTCATTTTAAAATGAAAACTTGGCAGAAATGTTTCCTGTGGCAGGAGATGATGAATGGTGGCACTCCATTCTGATCTTACTTTGAACAAATAAGTGCGGTCGGTCAAAATTTGATGGTAGATGGTGACCATCAGTCATCAGCATGTCTACTTTAATCGGAATTGGTTCGGAATTTGATCGTCTATCCAGGACTTAACTTGCCACTTGTTTAAATCGGCCTGTTGCAAACTTTTGCTGGAGCAAAAATAAGAGTTGTTACTCGTGTGAAATGCCTCAAAAATCACGATGAGCACATCGGTCAAGTCTAAAATGCACTCCTTACTTCGCAATTTGCATGAGAAAGTTGCGTTTTTTCGAGCTCTTCGCCTCAAAGTCGATATCAAGGCACAGGTGAACATTTCGCCAGAGGAGTCATTCCATCCAACCCCTGCTCACAAGAATACTACGCAATATTCCACAGAGCCGACGCCAATCCGCCAAGGCACATGTTAGTCCAAGAGCCAGACGACTTTGAGTGACAAACTCGGGATACATGTTTTGACCCCCTAAATCGATAGCCTTGCATACACTGAAACGGGAAATTTTTGTCTGCCGCCCTCTAACCTGTGCCATCACCCTCATCTAGGCCCTCAAAGTGGTCCAAAAAACACCATCTGGTGACAAACTCCTGACGCTCGGCAGACAAGTCTATTATTAAAGACCATACCCAGGGTGACTAGAAAAACTTTGTCTGCCGCCCTCTAGCCTGTGCCATCACCCTCATCTAGGCCCTCAAAGTGGTCCAAAAAACACCATCTGGTGACAAACTCCTGACGCTCGGCAGACAAGTCTATTATTAAAGATCATACCCAGGGTGACTAGAAAAACTTTGTCTGCCACCCTCTAGCCTGTGCCATCACCCTCATCTAGGCCCTCAAAGTGGTCCAAAAAACACCATCTGGTGACAAACTCCTGACGCCTAGTGCGGTTGCAGATGTACTCCTGTGAGCAGCTTGTGTAATAAAGTTTGAATGATACATCATTCTCTTCGTTTTTTCGTGTAGAATCCGATTTTCGATGTTGTCAAGTCCAAAAATGATGCTGGTGCCCCCAATTCAAGATGGCGCCCAAAATGGCCGCCCCGGGGGTCAAAATTCCAAAATTTGAGAATATTGTCGAGTTTGGTATCCATTTATATGTAATTTTGGTCGTAGAATTCATATCTGGTGTCAAAAAATAATTTCAACCCCTTAGGGTCCGTCAAATCCAAGATGGCGGCCAAAATTTCAACTTTAATGATAATTACCCAAGATGCACCTTTCACTGTCGAATGACGTGTCTTCATTTATGTTAATTAGGTCAGAAAACCTACAAGGGAGGTCTACAATGCCACTGCACCCTATGGAGGGCCAGGGTTCACCCCCTCCTACCCCCAATATGGCCGCCGCGGAGGGCATAAATAGTGACATTCTCTCAGAACGTCATAGTAGGTGTCCATTCCTATGTAATTTGAGGCGTAAATTCCAAATTTCAAGTCATAAATCGCAAATGTGAGACTTGCAATGGCTTATACCCTATATGGGGCCAGGGGAACCCCCTCAACCCCCTCTTCTTTCTAATATGGCTGCCATGGGGGGCATAAATAGTGAAATTCTCTCAGGACGTCATGTGAGGTGTCGATTCATAACATTGGGACCATATACGTTTTCAGATCCCAGAAATCGTCCAGAATTAAGAAAACACATAACTTCCAAGGGAAATTATGAACTTGATTTATCGACTTTTTTCACCCTGAAATGTCCGCTATTCCAATATTCGCCCACATAGGAACAGTGAAATTCTCTCAAAGCGGCATAGTAGGTGTCGATTTGTTTTTAATCTGAGGCGTGGATTTCGAATCACAAGTCAAAACATGTAAATATCCCATAGTGACGAAAATACTTATATATGGCAACCGCTTTGGCCTACATTTTGGACTAAAAATGCTGCTTGGGTTCATTTTTGTCGAAAGAGCTGGAAATGAATTGGTGATTTTAATGGTAATTGACAAATTTCACGCGTATTCTTTTTCTATGTACGCAAAGGACTCAGATGGGCGTCTGTTTTTTTCATTTTTAAAAATTCCCACAAAAATATAATTTTTTTGCCGACGAAGTATGTATCTGCATTCAGAGTTCCTATGTTATTGTTTATGAACGCACTCAGTTTAATTGCAATTAAAACAACTGGATAATTGAGTGCTTTTTGTAGCGCAGGGTTTCGTCTCCTAGTAGAAGCGACACCTACAGTTTCCTGCGTTATCTGCAACAAAACGCACGCTCCTGCTAGAAGAAAATCGATTACAAAAAGAACCATCTATTATCCAGTTATCTAATAATGAAAGAACCAGAAACCAATATGAATCCTCTGTGTACATTTGAAAAAGAACACCGGTGAAATATGTCAATCACCATTAAATTATCCGATTCATTTCCAGCTCTTTCGACATAACTGAACCCAACCCAAGATGCATTCTTTATTCCAAGATGAAGGCCAGAGCGATTGCCATGCTTAAGTGTTTTTGTCACTTTGAGATATTGACGATTTCTGACTTAAAATTCGGAATCTACGCCTCAACTTACATGAGAATCGACACCTCACATGCCGCTTTGAGAGAATTTCACTGCAACTATGTCCCCCCGGCGGCCGTTTTGAAGAGGGTACGGGGCTGCTCCTGGCCCCGCGTAGGGTGAAATGGCCTCAACTTACATTAGAATCGACACCTCACATGCCGCTTTGAGAGAATTTCACTGCAACTATGCCCCCCCCGGCGACCGTTTTGAAGAGGGTAGGGGGCTGCTCCTGGCCCCGCGTAGGGTGAAATGGCATTCCAGACCTCTAATTTGCGATTTTCAACTTGGAATTCGGAATATAAGCCTCTACTTACATAAGAATCGACACCTCACATGACGTCCTGAGAGAATTTCACTATTTATGCCCCCCATGGCAGCCATATTAGAAAGAAGAGGGGGTTGAGGGGGTTCCCCTGGCCCCATATAGGGTATAAGCCATTGCAAGTCTCACATTTGCGATTTATGACTTGAAATTTGGAATTTACGCCTCAAATTACATAGGAATGGACACCTACTATGACGTTCTGAGAGAATGTCACTATTTATGCCCTCCGCGGCGGCCATATTGGGGGTAGGAGGGGGTGAACCCTGGCCCTCCATAGGGTGCAGTGGCATTGTAGACCTCCCTTGTAGGTTTTCTGACCTAATTAACATAAATGAAGACACGTCATTCGACAGTGAAAGGTGCATCTTGGGTAATTATCATTAAAGTTGAAATTTTGGCCGCCATCTTGGATTTGACGGACCCTAAGGGGTTGAAATTATTTTTTGACACCAGATATGAATTCTACGACCAAAATTACATATAAATGGATACCAAACTCGACAATATTCTCAAATTTTGGAATTTTGACCCCCGGGGCGGCCATTTTGGGCGCCATCTTGAATTGGGGGCACCAGCATCATTTTTGGACTTGACAACATCGAAAATCGGATTCTACACGAAAAAACGAAGAGAATGATGTATCATTCAAACTTTATTACACAAGCTGCTCACAGGAGTACATCTGCAACCGCACTAGGCGTCAGGAGTTTGTCACCAGATGGTGTTTTTTGGACCACTTTGAGGGCCTAGATGAGGGTGATGGCACAGGCTAGAAGGCGGCAGACAAAGTTTTTCTAGTCACCCTGGGTATGATCTTTAATAATAGACTTGTCTGCCGAGCGTCAGGAGTTTGTCACCAGATGGTGTTTTTTGGACCACTTTGAGGGCCTAGATGAGGGTGATGGCACAGGCTAGAAGGCGGCAGACAAAGTTTTTCTAGTCACCCTGGGTATGATCTTTAATAATAGACTTGTCTGCCGAGCGTCAGGAGTTTGTCACCAGATGGTGTTTTTTGGACCACTTTGAGGGCCTAGATGAGGGTGATGGCACAGGCTAGAAGGCGGCAGACAAAGTTTTTCTAGTCACCCTGGGTATGATCTTTAATAATAGACTTGTCTGCCGAGCGTCAGGAGTTTGTCACCAGATGGTGTTTTTTGGACCACTTTGAGGGCCTAGATGAGGGTGATGGCACAGGCTAGAAGGCGGCAGACAAAGTTTTTCTAGTCACCCTGGGTATGATCTTTAATAATAGACTTGTCTGCTGAGCGTCAGGAGTTTGTCACCAGATGGTGTTTTTTGGACCACTTTGAGGGCCTAGATGAGGGTGATGGCACAGGCTAGAGGGCGGCAGACAAAAATTTTCCGTTTCAGTGTATGCAAGCCTATCGATTTAGGGGGTCAAAACATGTATCCCGAGTTTGTCACTCAAAGTCGTCTGGCTCTTGGACTATGTGATGAGATGATGATTCTAACCGCCTGATAACAATCGGCGTGTTTACATTCACATTTTTCTCACGTTGATAGATATTCGTCTTAATTGACCTCATGCTCTCCTCAACTTGAGCGCGGAAGCGTCGGCCATGCTGAGCAGGGATTGAATAGAACGACTCGCCTCTAACGAAATGTTCACCTATACCGCAGTATCCTTTTTGAAGCGGGAAGCTTTAAAAAACGCAAATTTCTTACACAGATTGTGAGGTTAGAAGTGAATTTCAGAGTTTGCCGATGCGCTTATCGTGATTTTTAAGACATTATCAGTCTGTAAGGAACAACGCTTATTTTTGCCATAGCAAAAGTTTACAACAGGCCCCGTTTGCAAGCGACCGTGATGCAGTCGCCCAATAGGGATCGAGGATTGACAACGCTTTCGATTGGGCCGCGGTGGCTTGCAAGCTGAATGTAAACAAGTGCCCACTTGTAAC